GAGAGGTTCTGGGTATTGCGGACATTGGGTGCCAAGGACAGGGCGGTATTCCAAGTTGATTTCAACAACAGGCACCCACCTAAGTGAAATCCCAAGTAGAAGGTTCCATTCACAACTTCCTGGTAGTTGTGAACGATTCGAGTCGAACCAGCTCGGCAGGTCCCGACCGAGAGTTACCCGCCGATTCATGTGGGGGGTCGTGATAGAATGTGATCAACTGTTTGATCAGCTTATCACCGTGATCAAAGCACACTACAATGAGACTGCCTTTGGGGACAAGGTATGCCTTGGTCAACGGACATCTTTTGGTCGAGTCCAAGGCCATCATTCTTTCGAAGCAGTCTCGACATCCCTAGGTCGACCATCACTAGGCCCTAATCGCCACAATATCAGTCACGTTTGGGATTTGGTCCATCGAGGGCACCCACAGACTCAGGTTGAAGCCCCCTCGAAGCTAGTTGCGGGGGAGAGCCAATGTCATTTAGGTATGTTTCAAGCTCAGCTCAGCTGCTTACCCTTCCATCACCTTTCAGAGTAGCACACCGCACACCGGGATTCTCCGCTGAACGGCCCAACACTGAGGATGGTCCTGCTCAATGGCCCTCAGCCCATCGAGGGCCGATATGTGGGGCCTCCAAGGGGAAAGGACATGTCAGCCTGATGCGCTTGGTGGGTGAGCAACACCCCAAAACCCTGTCAATTTTTTGGGACAACAACCTCACCCATCAGACCCATCACTCCAATCACCACCGGCTTTTGGCGAAAGGTGCCACGCTCAGGTGACGAATTGGTCCTCCGTGCCGTCGGAGCCTGTGGCCACCTTCGTGGACCCACCCGTCGGTGGGGGAGCACAAGGAGGGAGCACCGAGTGTGGACACAGCAGCATTTTGCTTTGAACGATTTGGATTTGGTGTCGTTCTTTTTGTTAAGAGGCCGCATAGATAGGGCAATGATATATATATATATAATTTCGATGTTTACAGTTTACAGCGGTTGGAAGCAAGACATCCTGCACCGTAGACTCCGGTAAACCTGTGCGGTGCTATCTCTTGGATTTCCTTCTTGGACTCCCTCGTCCAAAAACAGTGACCCATTGCTCCAAACAATGTATATAGAATGGTTTGATGCTAGGTTTGAGCCATTGAACTGATCATAACTTCTCGATTGAAACCCTGCAGCCCTGTGACTTTGAAGGCCTTGATCGCCACTCCTCTAGCCTTGATCGGTTCCAATGAGTTTGCAAAGTGGGATCCGAATAAGGCAGTGAAAGGTTCACTAGGCGCATCAGTGCGCTATGAAGGGATCCATGGGATCCATATGCCCCGATCTAATATCTTTTTTCATTTTTCTACGAAGAGAACGAAACTACGTTTGAGGCCCCATCGGAAATGCACTTTGAGGTCTTACGGCGGAGCTGAGTTGCGACTGTGACGTGGTGCCAGCGCGGGGACCTGGTTTGTGTGCGCAGTCGGACACAGCCAGTAGCAGTCAGTTTGGTTCCTGCTGATGTATGTGCATGGATCCGTGTGAACGTCGACCTCGTCCATTTTGTTGCGATGAAAGATGGCTTCGTTGATTGCAGGGACATGTAGCGGAGCATCACTCAGTGGCGAACTATGACTATCACAGAAAGAACCCCTGAGAAAATTGTTTGAATTGCTTTGCGCTTCCTGAGTAGCGGTGGAAGCCTGGTGGCTGGCCGAAGAATGCCTCGACTCAACCGCTGCGAGTCTGTTTGTTCTATTCAGAAAGACATTTTGCTCGGCGCCTCAAACATTTCCGAGAAGATGAGAAGAACCCCAATTAGAATAAATGGAGTTCCAGCCATGTGGACCGCTGCTCCAGTATCACTGGAGACCCATTCGTGATACCAACGGTTTCCAGTGTTCATACTGTTCTTTTCCATGAGGTGCATCATAGCAGGATTTGCTGTAGTTCCACTCAGATGACTTCCACCAAAACGTTGCCCCTCATCCCGCGAGAGTCGGACCGCCCGGGTTGGACCGCCCATCCAGGCCACGGTCTCCTTGTCCTGGAAGTCCTCCAACTTTGAGTCGTCAGCGCCCGAACCCACCGGTCGTTCTTCTTCGGTTTGGTTTCGGGCGCCCCGTGAAACGGGGGGGGTTCTCGTGTTTGGGGTTGTGTTTGAGAGTTGGTGCCTGTGCAGAAAGTCCGTCTCTTGAATGGTTTCAGTAGTCGTTTGATGTTTTCTGTTTTTTTCTTTGGCAGAATTTCCCACCAAGGTTTAACAACCGCCCGAGAGTAGGAAAGCAAAGGGCGTCCATGTACTTGGGGAATGGTGAATCCGAGCTTTAGTCTATGTTCTTGTCTTGACAGAAATGGTTTCGCGGTGAAGACACACCCAAAGCAGAAGAGCCCTCAACGAATAGGTCGCATGTAGTTTTTCTTGTGCCCTTGGCGTGATGTGATGTTTCGATGCGGGTCTTCATCCAAATAAGCTTTTGGATCATGCTTCCGGTCAAGCAGACAGCCAATGAGCCAAGCATCTGAGCATGCTAGGGATTTGTGGATGCTCCCCTTTTTCCAAGATCACTAGACAGACTATATATACGTGTTGTTTTACTCTCAAAGTGTGCAACATCAAGTGATGCAGCCTCTCCCACGACACACCTCAGGCTACGGCAGTCAGCTGCGGGGTGGCCGAGATGATATTAGCGGGAGGCAGCCAGAAAGAGTGTCTCCCAGTCATACCCTGTTGCCATGTTTGGAAAGAGGTTTCCCCGTCCGACCTAGCATGCAGCCCTTTGAAAGACCAAGAAGGATTTTGTAAAAGAGGCCTTTGTAACAGGGGCTTGTTATTTGGGCTTGTAGAATGTTCGCAGCAACTAAGTGGAGAATACCCTTGCCAGTGGCAAACGTGCAATCCTGAGTTCAGGTTTATGTTGATCAGTTTGGAACCACTTGAATAATTTTATGAAGGTTTCTTCAAAAGTTGACATTCTGATAATCGGATAAGTAATTGGTTTGCTGATTAATCAATGGCTGCTTGGTCTTCTAAGGGTGTCACTAGAGTAGCAGCAGCAGCAGCAGCTTGGGAAGCCTTGCGGACAAGGAGCTTCTTTCCTTCGAAGCAAAGTGCATGAGGGTCAATACCACGCACCATCAGGAGTGATCAGATTGTCTTCAAGCGAGGAACACCATCCCGGACAGTCCATTCTCGTGATTTTGGTGCGCCAGCCAGCAATGTCGGGGCGCTGTAAGGTCAGATGTCTGACCAAAGTTGCAAACGACCAAACAACCCAAGACAAAGAGTGTGGCTTTGCTCTCCATTTGAAGAAACGTGTTGCGTTCGTCCTTGTGTTGGGACGAGAGACACCCTTGCGATTGGGAGAACTACAGTAGGGATTTTGGATTTGTGATATGTGGGCCTTCAACTGGCAGGGTTGGGGATGTCCTTCCCAATGTTCTGCCATGTGCCATGCCTAGGCTGGATCTCCCGTAGACATGGACACTGCCTTTGCGTCACCTGGCAGAAACGGTGCAGTTTTTGCGCAGCGGTCCAGTTAGCGGAGTGAATTCTAGACAAGACTGGCAAAAGGCTGTACAAGACAGACATTTGCAGGGACTGTGGCGCCTTCCTAGAGCCGTTGCATGACGACAGTATTTCTTCTGCTGTCCTCATTCCTTCCGGTGAGTTGGTTGGACGCTTGGGCGTTCAGGTCGTGGCCGGGGCTGATGCCCATCAAGGTGCGCTGGCTGATCAGCGGCCGGCACCCGAAGGATCTTCTCGGATGTCGAAAGAGCAGATGTTGATCCAAAGCAAAATGATTACAGAGACTGGAGACTCTTCCCCGTTCTCTTCTCTTCTCCGTTGAATGATTGTTGGTGTTCTTGCCCCTCTGTCAAAGGGGCACGCAGGGAACCCAAAAACGTTTCAAACACATGGAGAGGCACAGTTTTGCAGCGAGTTCAACACTGGGCGCTTGTGTCATTGACCACCATTTGGGCAACTTCAGCAACACTGACACTGGCGACAAGGAACCGCCATGGGACTGTTTGGTCGTTTGGGGATGTGACAGGGTTTGAGGGGTGAGACATCCGGAATTTGTCATGGTCAAGGTTTGGTTCATATATATATATATATATTATATATATATACATTTCTACCTTACCCAAGGGCTGGACTCCGAGACTCTAGAGGGTCACCCATGCACGCACTGCGGCCCTCACTGCGGCCCTCACTCCGCCTGCGGGCGGAGGAAGCTGGAGTAGATACCTGAAGCCTTCATACATTCTCTACACTCTCCCAGTGCAATCCTCGTTTGACCTCTGATTCATATGGAAGTCATTTGGTCCACCGGACCGATGCCTAGTGCCGACCACAGCTTCATCGCTTCGCCAGATTCAAGTTCGATGGCGTGTGGTTCGCTGCCTGTCCAGTGTCGGAGAGGCGTGGGTGTTTCACGGAGTCACGGAGCCAAGCAGCATAGCCCAGGAGGCTCCAGCAAGCCTTGCAGCGCAGCCCGGAGGAAGTCTCTCATTTGAGATCCCCCCATGTCACGGCTTGCGTGTTCACGTCTTTGGTCCGGCCTTTTTCGTCCAGGGGCTTCATTGGTAATGGAATGCATAGCTGGATATTTTTACGATTTAGGATAACACATTTGGCGGCTATTGGGCTTTTGGCGTCGGGTACACCACCTTTTCAGCTTTTTGTGATCATCGATTTGGGATGTTGCTGGGGCTTTTGCTAGGCCTTGCCAAAGAGCCTTGCCTCTGGCAACTACACCGTCTCTGCTGTGTCACGGCAGACAAGGTCGCAGGTCGTGGGTTGTTAGCAACACATCCATCACATCCATCACACAAGATGTTCACATTCGCCCCAAGGTGCGAGTCTTGGGCAGGCGTCCCGAGTGGTTTGCCTTCGATCCGGTTACCACACCAAAGGTTAAAGCATCAAGAGCCCTATCACAGATAGGCTCTCAGCATCCCCTGGCACGTGGAAGTTGGAAAGTCCATAGTGTATGGCAGAGAAATGCGAGTTCCCGGTGTTGTTTCTGAAAGGGCGTTGGAGTCTTTTTGGGATTCGCACCACAGGTCAGCAAGGTTTTCTTGGCTGTGGATCCACACCCAGAACAGTGGGTTAGCAAAGTCATGTGATGGGGGGCGACTTCATCGAACCCTCCGCTACCTGAAGGAACACTGGTTAGATGGGCAAGTATTTTAACTACATCTCCTCCATTGGACACTATAAATTTCAGTGATCCATTCAAAAGGGCCATGTATCAAAGGATCTTTCAATCCTTTTGATCCAATCCATGCTTTCCTTGAGTCACGGACGGATCCGGTGTGCGCGACGTCAGCTCTCTTCGCCGTCCGCGACGGGCTCGCTCGCGGGCTGAGGCCATCGACAATTTGGTCAAAGACGCTGACTTCAGGAGATGGTGAGCGGAGACATGGTGATTTTGTTTTGTTTTGAACATGTACCCGTCTTTGGGAAGACACGGCGGGCATCTTGTTTCGATCTTCAATGACTTCGACGGGATTTAGCCGTGCGAGTTGCGATCAGCCTCACCAAGGGGGTGGGTCATGGCATGAAAACTGTGGACCTTCTTGGCAAAGGAGATAGTGAGTCTGAGTCTCTTTCACGCGCCCACGAGCTGGAGGATCGAGGATGATACCTGGCACTACACTTACAAGGAGGTGCCATCAGATCAGTTTTCAGCCACGGGAGACCTGGCACCCGGTTTTCAGCCGTGGGACCTCCCTGGGTCGATCGAGAGTCGATCGTCTCATCGAAGGTCGACAAGTCAGAGTAGTCCTTGATTTTTTTTGGCCTGTTGGGGCCTGGGCTGCAACCAAGTTAGGTGCTTCTGTGCACAAAGGATGGGGTTGGTTCTACTTCTCTTTGGGCTGTTGAGACTAGATCAGACGGGTCACCGACGGATCACTCATCAGCCCTTCCTGATGGGTTTTGGTATGCAATTCTGTTTTGGGAGCTCTTGTGGAGTGGAGTTTGGAGCACCAGGTAAACTTGTCCCGTTGCTGCGTCGCCTCTAGATGTGTTGAGGACGGCTTCAGAAACAAAACAAGCAGACCTGCATTTGCCGGGGTTGTCCACCAGCACAAGTTCCACTAACCATGTGCAACTCACGTCAAACAATGTGCGATTTCACAGCAGATTGTGCATATCCCAACATGTGGTTCACAAGGGCTCAACGGATTCGGTAGATGTGAACAGGTTTCGACACAATGCGTCTGAAATCATTGGTTGAAGCTGCTGTTGAACTGGTGGTTGCAAACCCTTTCTTCGGCTGTCACACTTTCCGAGGCACTCCACGGGGTCATATGCGTCTTCTCGGTCCGTGTGGGCACAGCCTTCAAGTGGTCTCCATGGTCGGAGGACGGCACAGATCCGTGCGAGAAAACAACGAGAACCAAGGGAGGGCTGGCTGTTTCCTTTTTTTTCGGGTCGGACCGACGTCTGTTCATAGGGCTGTGTTCAAGCCCAGGCATATCATGGGCTGTTCATAGGGATCGGATGCTGATGCTGACTCTGACGAGCAATCGATGGTTCGTCTTGCTTCGGAAAAAGCATCAATCCAAGCCGTCATTTTGCTGAAGTGCTCTTGGTGCAGGTTTCAGACAGACTAGGTTCCTAATGCTTCGGGCAATCACCCGGTGAAAGGTAGAATGTAGAACACCACTTTGTACATGGTATCCACCATGGCAATCCTGCTCGCACCTCCTTTCGACCAACGCAGGCAAACCGCAGCTTGAACCGGCCACATGTGAGCGTTTTTTAAAATTGCATATGAACCATTTCCTCTAGCTGGGAAGACGAGATCTTGAGGTTTGGCATACATTTTGCTGATTCCAATGCAAACGATGAAACAAGAAGCGGTGCCACAATGGTGAGTTCTCAGCGCGATCGAAGAAACTTTGTACACACCAGGTTCAGGTGCACAGAGACTGCATAGAGAAGGGATTTCAAGCCTGCACCCGAAGCCCCTGTGTCCCTAAATGAAGCAGATGCTGAGAAGTTTCATCCGCTAGGACAGCCCTGCCCTGGTGGTGGAAGTGCAGCTCAGACTCCAATAGACACAGCCAGGGAACGGGGCAGAGATGCTGGCTCGGTCACGGGCCCTTGGGTGAAACGAGGAAAACTCCAGGCTCCAGCCTGGGTTGGTGTTGATACGCCATTTATCTTTGCAGCCACAAGTTTCTAGTGATTTAGGCCAGGATCGGCCAATCATGTCCAAGTTAGTACTACAGTACCATGCTTTCTCGGAACGATTATGGTTGTGATTCCTGTTGTTGGGCTTCGGCATGATCTTGTTTTACTAAGTCGTTTCTCTACGAGAAAAACGGGCTGTGAAACCAATGAATGCCCAAACACTTCAGATTACCGTGGATAGTGCAATCATCCTGGCAGAGCCCACGTATCTCATGCACCAGGTTCCTCTTCACCAAAAACCCAAACTGATCGGACATGACATCTTCTTCTCTTTGCATCGCCCGTTTTCCATTGTTCTTCAGTGGGCTTAGGGCGCTGTGGCGCCAAGAAGCTCATTGGGAGCTGGTTTTAGGTCTCCACCTGACTCGTGCCCCGACTCGCGTTGATCGTCCCATCGTGTCCTCGCGGTCCTTGCCAGGCATGAGCCGTCTCCCCCAGGTGTGGCCAGATCGCCGGAGCGCCAAGCGAGACTCGAAGCTCAACAGACTCCGTCACCACAGAGCTCAGAACTCCTTGTAAGGCTTCGGAAAGTTGGTCGAAAGATAGAGACGGGGGAGGACATGTTCCACTCCTGCATTTCCCAAGGCCAAGCTTGAAACAAGCCACGCTGACAGGAAAGGATCCACATGGCACATGCCTAGTGATGAACCTCCAGGAGTGCCCAAAGTCTACATATCATATTTGTTGGATTTGTATAGTCAATTTAGCACACTTTGATCGTTACAGGTCCCTGTCTCGCAACTAAGCAGGTTTTGAAGCTAGATCCTTCACAGGATGATCTTTCACCATCGTCTGCAAGCTCAGGCCCCAGACTGCAGCAGGAAGCCCAGACAGCCGTCAGCTTGATTTGGTCAACTTGACTCAGTGGCGCGGAGCTTCCCAACTTTCTCCCTTTGAACCATCCATGGCCCTTCTACTCGGACTGATCGTGGCTCAGGAATTGGACGAGGTCCGGTGGCCAGGGGCGGTCAGGGATGGCCGGGGTGACGGGTGAGGGCAACGAAACCCGTCAAAAGCGGTGGCACAACACTTCGTCGGAGGAAATGAGCCTCCTAGACTGATCAGCTGGTCGTCTCCCAGCCCAGCTGATCAGCCAGGTTTCTCAGCAGGCTCCTGTAAAATCAGATGAGAAAGCCTATTTCAAGGCACAAATGATTGAAAGAATGCTCGGGGAATCCAATGGTCCGAATAGAGCGTCTCTGCTTTGTTTGATGTTGGCTTTGCAGCGGAACAGATCCTCCTCAAGCCCATGCATTAACAGAGCATTTCTCATAAAGTCCGAAAACCATGTGCGGAAAACGATGCAAGAATTATGGCGAAGCCCAATTGTCATACTCTGTCTGCTTCGATGAGGCTATTGGCACGCTTGGTGTTACATCACTTTGAGAGCTGCGGTACCAGCTGCGTACTGCCCCCGAAGAGTGTTTGTCAGACCTTGGACGGAACATGTGGTTGGTTGGTTCGTTGCAATAGTTTGTCGACAGGATGCTTCAAAGGGGCGGACGAATCAAATGAATTCTGTGCTCTTCCCGGGAACAGATTCCCAGTTCAAACAGTCACTCGTCAACTTGTGATCCCAGTCTGTGGAAATGGCTATGTTAAAGATTACAATTACACTCAGAATTTCATGCTGATGGTGATGATGATGGTGCACAGCCACAGCGGAAGATTGGCCAACTCCCTGGCTGGTGCACAGTCATGTTGCAAGGACAAGTCTTTTTCTCGGCGCTGTGCCAAGACCTGGCGACCTGATATCACATTTGAAAAGAAATCGTTTGGGACCACCATGGAACACCTGGCCAATGCCTTGGTTTCTGGTTCACAAGGTGCCCCTGTTGAAAACGTCGAAAAGCGACAGGACTTGGAGGCCTTGGCACGAAGCCGAGACCCTGAGAAGGCGTGCGTCCTGTGGATGGGTCGAAGTACAGAGTATACATTTGGGCATCCTTAAACATTCTCATCCCCCCTTTGGTGGAAGCATTGGATTTTATGTTGTCTCGATGAAGTTGTTCAGTTTACTGTTGAGGTTTTCGATGCTTCAGGACTCCTTTCGCTGATCGGCGAACGGGTGAAGTAAGCATTTGAAGTGCCGACGCCCGAAGCTGGCGATGTCCACCCAGCTCACTCGGTGCATTCCCAGCCCAGTTTTGTATGGCAAGTCGCCACTTGCCAGTCTTCGTTTTCCAGGTTCTGTTTCAGACCCTTTGAATCAAGTTGATCCACACACATCTCATCTCTCCGGGCTCATCGAAAGACTCCGGACGTCTTCTCGGACTCCAGTGCTCCACCACTCGGCTTTTGCTTGGCTCGTTCGTTCGCGGATCGTTCCAAGTAGGTGCTGAACTCCAGTGATCTGTGCCTCGAAACACCGGTCGGTCTCAAAGGCGATCGAAACACCTGAGGTTGAAAACGCCATCCAGAGCAATGCAGCGCCTATTCCCCGACCTGGATCAAACTATGAACAGTCCCCCCAGACCGCCGGACTTGAACTATCTGCCCAAACAACCATGATGATGACAATGAACACGTACTCCGCTTGAAGAACTCAAAAACGAAGACATCCACCACCCCGGTGACGGCCCAAATTGGGGGAGGACGGGAAAGGAACCGAACAGCCGAAACGCGCCACAACGCGCCACGCGGCGCCACGCGGAGGCGTCCGGGTTGACGGCGAAGTGCATCGAGATCCGTCGCCTCACAGACTCGGAGGGCGAGGTGTTTCTGGCACTTTTGCCGTGAAGTGAACGCCAACCGGATTGCTAGTAGGTTGGAGGCCATTGTGAGGACCGGACGGTGGCCACCAGTTGTAGATCGAGTCTTTTCAACTATGTCGGGTGGCGCCGGTTGATGTGGGCGGTCCAGGCCTTAAATTTTAAATGAAGGGTCTTTGAAAGTTCTTTTCTGGGTCTGGGTGTTCCCCCATTTTCACCAGCCGGCCTCCACTTCCCAATCAAACATATTGAAGAAAAGAATCATGCGACTCTCCCCGCTTCTTGCCATTTTTAGCGTGACGTATATAAGTCTCTCAAGTGGAGCAATGGATGTTGGTGAAACCTGAGATCAGTCCATCGCGCAAAGATCCTCTTTGAGGGTTCGGCATCCGACTTTGGGGGCATTTCCCCTTGCCCAAGCGTTGATGGGAAATTGAGCGTGACGACTTGGCTAGGCGACCTGGATGCCCTTTACGACGGAGGAACTGGGAGCCGGAGGGGGAGGGCTGTCTTTGTTGGCTTTATTAGAACTTTAAGATTTTTTCAAAAATAACTTGAGTGAGAACGCTGAACCTCCACGAAAGGCACTTAGAATCAGCTTGGGGCTTGTGTAGGGAGTGAGATTCTCCTTGGACAGCAACAAAACTTCTTCTCCAATGCTGTTCAGTGTTGGGGGCTTGGATATTCCCCCCAAACAACATTATGTTTGTGCTTATGTTCAACGTTCAAAGGAATCTCAAGATGTCGATGAAACGAGTCTGGAGATACTTTACACATATAGTATACACTGGGGTGCCGAAAGTTGCGCTTCTTGACTTCAAAAACGGGACAAACCCTTTCCCCTTAGAATCCTACGTGCAACATGTCGACACCTAAGTTGCGGTCAGATTTCCACACCTAAAAGCCTAACATGTCGACACCTAAGTTGCGGTCAGATTTCCACACCTGAAAGCCTTATAAGTATCATACATTTAAACGGGTGTGGAAATCTGACCGTGCTGTACCTGCCAGGCAAAATGGACGTGCCAATCCGATCCGCTGTAGACCGCAAGTGTCAAGTTGGAACAGAGTAAGAAGCGTAAACTTTAGGGTTCTTGAAGTATATATACCTTGATCTAAGAGCTCTCGTGCAACCACCTTTCATTAACCATCCCGTTTTGTATCCTCATCTTTGTGGTTTGGCGTGGGAAGTGGTTTGTGCGGAACCAAGTATTGAAAAATAGATACCTTTTGTATACCCAAATCACACACCAATGGCATACTCTTCCCTAAAAGAGTGAGAGCCGGTGATGACCTGCCAGGGCCTCCTGACCTGGGTGGAATACCGCGTCACGGTGTGCAGCCTCGATCGCCAGAGACCTAGACCGCTGGGTGGGGTGACATGGGGAGTCGGGGGTCTGTAGTGCATTTTTGGGGGACCGTTTTGGGGGTGACTTGAGGGAGGCCGTGCCACAAAGAACCTACTGTGTTTTTTGGAGCAGTCCCCCAGTGATCTTGCTCCACATCCTTTGCATGCTTTGGTGATGCGAACTGACATCCTGTTTGCTGAACAAGCACCATGTAGCTGCGTGGGCTCACCGGAAAAACATCAATTCACCCGCTTGCTAAGCAAATCAATACATACCTGCGTGTGCTTTCCACATCCTTTTGCTTCGGACTGCTGCATTTGCAACTTTGTTTGCTTTGCTTTTGAAGAGCATGCACAGCCAGGACAAGAGTTTTCCACTGGTCTTCCGTGGGCATGCCTTGCCCCTGAGAGCCAGTAAGTCACCAGTGCATCACAGCGGACTTCAGAAGAAGGTTCCATCCAGAACTAGTACCGGCAAAGTCCTCCGCGGGAACTCCACTGGCAAGGAGATTTGCCCCATGTGGAGTCAGACGAATTCCTGCATTTGGCTGTTGGCACCCACCGAGCCCACCGAGTCCATGCTGTGCCCGACATGCCACGTCTCCCGCGCTTCGAAGATCGATGCCAGGCCCAGACGACACGCCGCAGTGGGAGAAGATGGGCGCCAGCGGCCCGAGGGGGGGCGTGTTTCGGAAACGACCATGTTCACGGAACACAATCCTGTGAGGTCGGTGTGAGCAATCTGAGCTATATATATACAGTATATATAGGATATTATATGCACATTTGTGGTTTGGAAAACTAAAGCAAGCACGAACATGCCACACTTTGGCATAGTTTCTCTACAAACTGATGTTATTAGCTGTTGGGGTACCAATTGTTGAAGGATTTCCACACCTGAGCACTTGTTTGTTTGGTGCCTATGCACCAAACTGCAAGGTCTCTTTGTGGGAGGAATGGGTAGGAAGTTTGATTTTTGGGGAACAGCAGGACGGGTTACGCTCCCACCTCATACCAGTGGGAGCCCTAGAGCTGTTTCCGATAAAGACCTTCACCAACTATCATCCGCGGTTGCAGGGTTGAGGGCTGGTTCCAAAATTGTAAAGGTGGACCTCAGACATCATGAGAGATTTGATCTCTCTTTGGTTGACCTCCTGGTGCAACATCTTCCGTAGCCTCAGAGAAGCTCGCTTCGCTGAGATCGTGGCTGGTGTGGTGCAGATCCGGGACAAGGTGGACCAGGCCGTGGCGAGTTCAAAGCTCCGGTCTTCAAGAAACTGACATGGCTATGGGTGATGACCGGGCATGTCAAATGATCCACAGATTTTTGGAGTGTTGGCTTTCGACCTGCAGCCAAAGCGTTCTCTTGATGATTTGCCTACACTCATGGGTCAGGATACCGCTCAAAACCAAAAGGCATTTGTAGCTGGTAGCTTTTGCACGGTGTCTCAGCCCTTTTCAGATACTTCCCTTTTGACTGGGCTATACTCTGGGCAGTTCCATGTTTTTAAGGGCTGAAGGGTGAAAACTCTGCCTTGAACAAACCACTCAGTTGGAAAGCACAGGTTGAGGGAACTTCCATAGACTTAGACTGCACCAGGACTAGCCCCGCAGTCAGTGCAAGTCTCGATTCAGGTTGCCATCCCTTTGGCCTGTTTTCTGCCCCAGGTCACCATGCCCCTTCGAGGGCTCTTGCCAAACCAGTGGCGTGGGAGCCCGACAGGAGAGGAGAACGCTCGAAAGAGCGCGGGAATGCTGTGTGATACAACTGGATCTAGGCGAGGAGGAATGTCAGATATCAAGATATATCAAGCAGCAACAGAGGTGCCAGCAACTTGGATTAAGATCTGGATCATGAATCATGGTTCTCAATGCTGGTGCCCCATTGTATTCTTTGCCAAACTGTGCCTAGCGGTTGGATCGGAGAGCTCTGCAAATGAGCCACATACCACTGTTCTGGATCATCCAGAGGGTCGGGTTCTCCCGTAGCTGGTGCAGAAAAGGTCAGCAAGGTCTCAATCCCACCTTTTCATCCCTGTCAATATTCTGTGGCTCAACAATCCAAAAGCGTCATGGTCATCCACTCATGCAGAAATCCTTCTGGATTGCTAGTCCTTCCGTGGTGCTGGCCACATAAAGCGTTGACCCTCTCCAAGAAGACCTAACGGACAGTTCACCATAGTTCAATTCTGGTGTCTAAGCAAAAAGTGCCTTGGAAGAGGAAGAATGCGAGGACCAGGAGTCATGCCTGGCAGCTACCAGCAGACTTGCACTCCAGTACTCCGCACTGCCGAATGGGCAAAGGATGGGATACTGCAATGTGGCTCCGGGGCGATGACTGCCCGAAGAGCCCCAGAAATTTCCAAGTCTTTAACGCCTTTAACGCGATGACTCTCAGGTATTGTATCCAGGTGGATGCTCGCTATCCCTACGTGGGCAAGCGGGCCTTCTCAGACCGCAAGGCAGGCCGAAGGCTAGCGAAGACTCAGAGACCTGGCTGGTAGAACTCCTTGAGTTTCAAGAGGCTTGGTGAAACATCTCTCTTCTACTCTGATTGAGCAGATCTGTGGAAGACCAGGAACTCATAGCCTGAGTTTGGAAAGTGAAAGGGATCAACACCTTGGGTTTTCCAGCATTTTTCAGCATCCCAGCCATTTCTGTTCACGGCAACCACAGGCTCAGTGTCGCTCAGTGTTTTATTTCTTTTCGCTCAGCCCGCGATGTTCAGGCGCTCTCCCCGCCCTTCCTGACGCCGTTCCCCTCACGGCCCCCGTTGCAGCCCATCCCCGTGCGAATGGAGCTGGACGAGGCGAGATGGGGGTGGCGAGGCTTTGACCACACTTCGGACGGGCCTAGATCGGCCCAGTGTCCCTAATGAGAGCAAAAGCATCGTACTTTGCGCGAATCTCCAAAAGAGGCTCTTTTGAGGGGTTGACCTCACTAGCGCGACTGGGGAGACAGCCCTTAACACACTGGGTGCTTGGTATTTTTTCGTTCGATTTGGCGCAGCCACACAGATCTAGACTGGAGGACACCATGAACACATCAGGATGCCCAAGAATTCGGCTTATATGGGTATTGCTGTTTCGAGCGGAGTTTTGCCGAGGCGGGAACTTCTTACTGTGCCTTCTTGGAAGCTTCAACAGTTGACCTGGGTGTTTTGACGTCTGAAGTAAGAATCGGTAGGAACTTCAGGTTCAGATTAACCAAGTCTCAAGTTCCACTCCTACACGGGCGGAGTTTGTGCGCGAACTTCGACGGCAGGAGCTGGAGGAGCTTCCGCCGGAAGAGGCGAACCAAGCCGAGATGAACGGCTGCAACCGTTCGTGGTTGTTGTTGGGGCGTTTTCCGGGGTGGCATCTGAAATGGCAGTGGATCGCGGGTTTCAAAAAGTGTGGGATTGCTGAAGACGCCCACCTCAGTCACCCAAAACTGTACGTTCGGTGTTTGCTGATCCGAACTTGTAAGGCTGGATGCCGTAGACACAAGGGTGGATGGCGCGGACAGGTTGTTGCATAGTCAAAGCCTCCTGGACTGTTATGTAAAGACAAGAGAAGTGACCCTTGACATGTACAATGACTCCCAAATTGATCGAAACAAGTTAACTCTAAGTCAACTCAATTGACAAGTTTCCATGTCAACTCCTTTGCAGAAGTATCGGCAAAATAGACGAGCGACAAAAAGCACCAGCAGGAGGGGGAGGACTTTCGCTGGGCTTTGCGGCCCTGGGTCTCCTTGCGAGCCAGAGCCTCATCGAAGGAGCGCAACCTAGGCCAGGTTGGACACTTTCAAAGTGGATATTGGATATGGATGTAGGCGGCCTGTTTGCCTGTCTGGTGTATTTTCTTTCCTTCTAAAGTGCTGGAGTTCATGATTTAGTTGTGGCAAGGATGGGATGCAGTGGGACGTTTCTTATGGGATCCAGAGGATTCACATTGGATGCAGCGATGTAACGATGGATCCTCGGCTCGTTCTCGATGGATCCTCGGCTTGTTCTCCAAGGTGGAGAAGGGCTTTCTTCCAGAGAAGTACGTGCTCCAGTACAAGGCAGTATGGGATCAGTTAAATCTTGTGAAGTCGCTCGCCGCTGGGTTTTTGACCAGTGGTTTGAGACATGCAACGCCAGGGGCGCTTTTTTGAAGATGGTGGGTGTTCTGAAGCACTATGAGCCTGTGAGATTCTGTGAGCTAGAATAAAGGACCAAGAGCACTGAACATTGAACTTTATCTCAATGTGGCTACATAGATGTGACTTCATACATTGACTTTGTTCCAAGAAAACTCGCAGGCTCGGTCGTTCGAGACTCAGTCGGACCTGGCGCAAGGAAGCGGTTGGTGGAGGAGAGGAACTGGGCAAGGAGCACTTTGAAGGCGAGCGCTCCGAACGGGAACATGGCGGAACCCGTGGCGGAACTGGGTGAAGTCAAGGAGGAACATGGAGGAAGTCTTGGTTTGTTTCTTTATATAGTTCTGTGTGGGGCCAAAATGGGTCTTCGCTAGGCTTTGGTGCTAAAGAGGATCTTAACATCGATTTGAGTCGCTGCTTGTTCGGCTGACTTAGAATCTTGGCCTGATGTGAGACACCTTGTAGGGTTTCCCTGCTGGCTCGCCCGGATTGAGGTGGTCCACCATTTCTGTGGGTGTGATGCAGCGAAGCATAGCGAAGCTGGCACGAGTGAGATGAAGGTCCTTTGGATGGTCCAACCAAATGTTCTGACGAGGTGGGGTCCAATCTGATCACTCTCAAATTTTGCTATCACGCGCCGTACCCTTGACGCGATCTGAAAATAACACAAAAAGAAATTTTTAAGTAAGCATTTTATATAAAGTTATTTTATGTGACAATTGCTTGTTCTCAGCTACTAAATTGCACACTGTGCTCAATGTAATTGACAACGCTTACTTCAACGACCGGCGACCGACGCGACCGATATCGGTCTCTATCGGTTTCTATCGGTCTATCGGTCTCCCCCCCTCCGCTCCTTAAAAACCTATCGGTCTATCGGTCTCTATCGGCCCCATCCCCCGCGAATCGCGCGCGCTTAGATATCATAGTCTACAAGTCTGCGCGCGGGGGGTCGGCCCCACTAGGTCGAGGTGTCGGTCTTCGGTCGCCTCCGGTTGTCGGTCTCCTCTACTCTACTTGGTTGACTCTATGTGATAACCGGTTGGCTTTCCTAGCTTCCTTTTCCATTCCTTTCATTTTTCTGCCTAAAAGCGCAGACCGTTGATCGGGTCTACAGGTCTGCGCTTTGCTTTCCTTTGGCTTGGCTGGCTGGCTGGTTGGCTGGCTGGCTGGCTTGTGGCTAGCTGGTCGGCTGGCCTGATAATGGTAGCGGTAGTAGAAAAGTAGTAGTGGTAGTGGTAGTGGTGGTAGTAGTGGTAGTGATAGTAGTGGTCGTAGTCGTAGTAGTCGTAGTAGTCGTAGTAGTAGGAGTAGTAGTAGTAGTAGTAGGAGTAGGAGTAGGAGTAGGAGTAGGAGTAGGAGTAGGAGTAGTAGTAAAAATAGTAGTAGTAGTAGTAGTAGTAGTAGTAGTAGTAGTAGTAGTAGTCGTGGCGGCGGTAGTGGTAGTAGTAATCATAGTACTGGTAGTGGTCGTAGTGATAGTAGTCGTGGTAACAGTAGTATTGGTAACCCAGTCCGACCCGGTCCGGTTTCCAAATGTATGAATTCCCTTGCGCCTGTCACGAAAAGTACTGGACCGGGTCGGACCGAGAGTGAGAATCCTGCACGCCTGTCATGAATTTTGAAGTACCTGGTCCGGACCTGGTCCGGAAAACCTCTTAACTGATTAGGTCTGTGGTTCACGCGTCGCGGTTAGCTAGGTTTGGGTGTGGAAATCTTAAACAGCCGAGAAATCTGAAGATTGAAAAGTTTCTGGAGTTGCCACACTTTGCGTTTGACGGCCTGTTTTTCTGATGACTGGCTACAGCGGGGACTATGTTGAGGCACACCACTCACTGACCGGTGAGCATTTCTTCAAGGCTGGGTGTATGGTGAAGCTTGATTGAAACGTTGGATTTGATAGCTTTCAGGCTGAGGCTAAGCCTTACTATTGGAAAGGGGCTTTGGCGAACAAAATCCTGAAGCACTTCGATGTGTGCGAAGAACTTGACCTGAGTTGCTCTTTGTTAATGGTGATCATAGCTATCACTTGCTTGTGGCCTATGAGGAAGCACTGTCGTGTTCATGGATCGGAACAATGCCGTGATCCGCTCCGCAGATCACTGGAAACAACTTGGTACGCCACTCAAGTTGGCATTCGTTCTGCGCCCGCCCCAAAAGTGACCAGCCACTCCTGGTGTGACAACGGATTTTTAAAGAGAAAGAAGCACACTCTATATCTACTGTTGTCTGCGGATATTAATATGTTGTAATCTGTTAGTTGTTAGGCGGGTGATGCTTGTGATACAGAAACTACGGATAAGCTTGACTTCTGCATGGCTTGGATTGTAATCGCGCAATATTCCTTTGTTGTGTGTTTTTGTTCTTGTGTTGGTGGAGCTGTGGCATGACGACATCGATCCCCTTGGAGTCCGAATGGTGTGATGCTTACAAAATGCGGCGCCGGCATCTGAATGTTGTTTCAGGCAGCTAACTGCGCGAGAGCGAAAGCAAACCCTGGAGAAAGTGGAGTGTTGTATGTGTTGGTAAGCTTTCTTGGGGTGATTGTCTTTGCGGTGGCAGGAACAAGTTCTGAATGATGTGCATGTGTGGGCATATGGTATTGTGCGTATGCCGAAGCATATCACCCATAATCAATGGGGCGCTGGGCGGGGCTGGATGGTGTTGATCTATGAGCTGACACCATTCTTGATCACTACGTTGACGCGTCAAACACTCTATCGCAAAGGACATTTACAGCGCGTGATGTGCACGGTCCTCGAGGCGGATGTGTTGTTGTGCTTCATGGAGTTGCGAAGATTGGGAACGGTGCGCGCTGTTCTTAGTGCGTTGGATGACCGGTGTGATGCGATCGCAGAGCCATGGTATGATGACACTTTATCTGGTATACAATACTGCACCAGCGCGTCGGCAACTGGTCCGGGTGGTGTATATGTCCTGCTGGATCTTGACCGAGATGTGGATACGGTGCGAATGCCGCATACCATCGATTTGCTTTAGGAAATACATTAGTTGAGCCTTCCAAGCAAGGTGTAAAAAACAATTGATAGACGTTCTAATCTGTATATATAGCGATATATAGGGTGATTCTCTCCCTTCTCCCTCTCTCTCAACCGTTTAGATACATATAACTCATATATACAGGCCGGTGCTTGTGTGTGTGTGTACATGATAGGCTGATTGTGGACAATATCTGGTTGATCAACGTGGGAGTGAAGACATCTCGCTAATTCCCAGCGCTTGCTTGATTTGCCTTGTTTGTTGTGCTGCCAAGCTTTGGTGTGGACTTTCGAAGATTGGTTATCGTCTTCAGCGAGGCAAGTTAAGGTGGCGAGATGAATAACCTGCAAGTATGTGCTGTGGCGACACTGCGACCGCCGGCGTTGGAAGTGAACCGCCACCGCCCGTGGCGACGTTGGATGCTACTCTTTCGAGAATATGATCATGGTCAATATCCTTACATTATGGGCCGCCAAGTGTTAGGGTCACATGGTTGCTTGCAACGCGCCTACTGTGTGCGTGTGGAATGTGGTATGGCATTGTGCTTCGTAGAGCTGCGCCGCAGCGGACGTATCGCACCAAGCTTAGAGATGTTTGAGGGGTTGTATGATATCATTGCCGAGCCCTGGTTCGAGGACACCCTGTCGGGTGCACAATACTGCCGCACTGCATCACGGCTGTGCTTGGGGGTGGTTGATACGATTTGCGATTTGAACAGAGCGACCGACGTGGTGCCAACACCATTAGGCTGGGCGGCATTTGTAACAACAACGTGAAGGTTTTTATCAAACAAACAATCTTCATGGCTGACAATCCAGCCCTTAGTGCGGTGATGTGATAGTTGGATGTGGTGATCGCTGTGAACATGTTGCGATAATAGTTGTATGTAGAACACAACTTTGACAGTTCTGATTCAAGCGTATGTAACATGATTATAGACGTGGTTGCGTTGAAGAACTGTCATCAGTTTGCTTTTGGCAAGCGGTGTTAGTTGGTTGGGTTGATCCTTTGCATTTTTTTGTGAAGCGAAACTCTGGCATGGCAGTGGCTTTGTGCACAGCTGATGCATCCTCTCTGCAAGTGCCAGAATGCCAAAACTTCATTGCGTGTCCGAGCATGGAGCCCGGAAATGGATGCAACAGTGGCCGCCGTGGTTCAGGAAAGAATGCAGCAAATAGACAGTTTGCTGATTGCTCGGGTGGAGTGTGGAACTATGCTGATGTTATGGTGCCTTCACGCACCTGTGTGTGCGGAGTGGCTTTTGGAGCCATTTGCTCACATGAAGGGGATTATGATTGAGCCATGGCCCCTGAGTGCAGTGGCGGGAATGCGATATGTACGCTCCCAAGTAGAGCGTATCCCAGGCGCCTATGAGGTTGAGCGCGTGCAATTTGTGTAGTTCCAAAAGCTTGAGGTGCTATGGCGACTGTGGATGAATGATGCATCACCTTGCATACGTGGCGTGCAAATTGCGCGCGCCTAAATATATTATGTGCATACGCATTGCATACAAAGGTTAGCCGATGTGATTACAAGCTTGTGGTTTGTGGACTTTCAGCTTGTAAACTTTCAGTTCTGATTCAAACGTAAATAACATGATTATAGACGTGGTTGCGCTGAACTGTCATCAGGTTGCTTTTGGCAAGCGGTGTTAGTTGGTTGGGTTGATCCTTTGCCTTCTTATGTGAAGCGAAACTTTGTCGTGACTGTGGCTTTGTGTACTGCTGATGTATCCTCTCTGCAAGCGCCGCAATGTCAAAACTTCATGATGTGTGTCCGAGGATGGAGATCGCACGCCGACAGTTTGGCAAGTTAGCTGAAACTAACTAGCTCCCGACTGTGTACGCGCGCCCTTCGATCATCTGTTCCGAAGTTGTGGTGGTGGCGGTGTTGCACAAGTGGCAACTGAACCTGCTGAAGAATAAGAAATCCTGAAGAGAACACAGGAAACATACCTCGCGTAGCATCGAAATACTCATGCGATTTGAAATAAAAGGTTAGCTAGTTGGCTGGCTGGGTTGCTGCTTGGCTTGGCTGGTTGGCTGGCTCTTGTAAACTAATATGTTAAACCGTCAGGTGTAGATTGTTGCTAGGTGCTATGTAGCTTATTATTTCAACACTCATAGAAGAGTTGATTTGGTAGTGGTAGGTCACCACTCAACTATGCTGTTTGATGGTTGAGAGCTTTGCTACCCCACCCGAAAGAAGGGTCTACATATCCCAAATCCTAAAACCCTAACCCCTAAACCCTAACACCAAACCCTAACTCCTAACCCTAACTCCTAACCCTAATTCCCAAACCCTAATCTCCAAACCCTAATCTCAAAACCCTAGCCCCGAACCCTCAAACCCTAACCCTCTTTTGTGGGACATGAAAACACCGCGGTGCCTAGTGGGTCGACATTTTGCTCCATCGCTTCGTGGGAAAAACGATTTCAAGAGGATGACTCTAAGAGCACAATGTCACCCCAGGCTGGCAAGAGCCAGTAGTGGTGGAGCGCTTCAGCAAAGACAAGCTGCTCGTCTGGCCTTCTTTGGAACGTTCGCGCAATTCGGTGGAGCTAGTGGTGTTTTCGTAAGGGCTTCTTCGGGGAGATGAACTCATGAACCAGAACCCTGAATGCCCTAAGATGGTTCGTGGAGTTCCTGGTTCGGTTGGTAGAAGATATACAGGCTCGTCAAGCAGTTTGCCAAGCTGGCGTCAAGCTTGTGAGCATTCTTCCACCAGATGTGATGAGTCACAACTTTTTCCAGTAGGGGGGTTCTGCATGAGAGGTTTTCTTGGCTGCTGGAACATCCTGTTTATGAACTTGAATGTATTTGACACTTGAACACCCCAATCCCTTGTTTCGCCATTGGATTTGAGTGGGGCCCTAGCTAGGGCACTAGCTTGACCGGGGAAGTTATGTCCTGCTCCACTTCCACCTTTTCTACGTGGGTGTAATATGGTGTATTTCATAGAAAGGCCCCAGTGCACTCGGTGGTTCGACAGTGGTTCTACGGGGATCCTTTGTCTAAATCCGCTGCATCCTTTGAGGCGGAACACCGACCAATGGGACATCGTCCGTGTGGGCCTCCCATCAGGTGCAAGAGTCGAATGGCCGTTTCGAGATTCAGAGCAGTTTGGGCCTCCAGCCTGTCAGAGCAGTGGAACCACTTATTTATCACATTGACATGAGAAAGTGGAAGACTCCTTAATACGTCCCTGTAGGTTTTTGTTCTTAATGTCCCTTCGCAGAAGAGAAGGATGGACATACTCGGGCCTCCGAGACTGGTGGGTTTGTGCAGCTGCATCATCATGGCGGAGCTATCTCAAGAGGAATGTACTGTGTGTGTGTAACCCTTGGAGTCATAGGGATGCTTTTGCATTCATTTATTTTTTGTTTTATCGCAGGGGGGCAATGAACACTTTGGAAGGCATTGCCCAACGAAGACCCTTCCATCGTGTTGTGATATTCCTGAGGGACGCCTCGGGAACGTACCTGCTTTTTCCTTTTCCATTTGAATGGCGAGAGGCTAAGCCAAGAACCTCACGAATCGGTTTTGTTCAGAGCTTCGATTCATTTTCTGCAGATGTGCACGAGCCGCCGTCACCTCGCCCTGTTCGTCGTCTCGTGGCCTTTAACTACAGGAACTCTGGTCCCCTTCACCTGGTTTTTCAGGATTTGGGTCTCTTAGGCTGGCGTGTGGCACCGCATTCAGTTCCGTACACAATATCTCAAGTGTGTTTGGCTTCGTGCCAACCCGGGATGAGCCCGCAGAGTGCCTCCCGTGGACCCGTTGAACGGGTGTATGTCGACCGTATCCATTGCCCGGATACAGAGCAGCTCGGCCTAGGCCGTACGTCCGATGATTTTGTCCCATCTTTGGAATTCCAAGTTGGCTCATGCCTTTACGTGACCGCAGCGGTCAAAGCAGCCAGCCGCTTCGGCAGGGCACAAGGTGACCACAGCGGTCAAAGCAAGTTTAGGTTCATTGGGACCTGTGGAGAACTTAGCCCCCTTCTCCCCTGCCCTCCCCCTTTCTTTCCTTGCTTTCTGGGGTTTTCCTGAATGGAAGACTCAGGATCACCCCTTTCCTTCTTTGGTGTGTCCCTGGACGGTTCTTCGTAGCTGGGAACACATGCCCTTTCCTTTTCTCTCCTCTCCCTTTCTCTCCCTCTCTCTTTCTTTCTTTCTTTCTCTTTTCCCTCTCCACCTTCCTTCCTCCTTGGGTGTCCCTGGATGCTTTTGTCATAGCTTCTTTTGGTGTGTCCTTGGACGCTCGCGTCGTAGCTGGGAACACCTTCCTTCCTTCTCTTTCCTTTTTCTCGTCTCTCCCCTCCCTTCCCTCCTGTCTGGACCTTAGCTTGGGTTGCTACTAGGGGCTCCTGGCCTTCCTACTAGGTCGCTACTTGACGCTACTAGAGGTTCCTGGCCTTGCTACTACTTTGTACCTTTTGGCGCGGAGCTTAGAATCTTGCCTCCCTTCGGGGAGGCGTGTGTGTGTGTAACCCTTGGAGTCATAGGGATGCTTTTGCATTCATTTATTTTTTGTTTTATCGCAGGGGGGCAATGAACACTTTGGAAGGCATTGCCCAACGAAGACCCTTCCATCGTGTTGTGATATTCCTGAGGGACGCCTCGGGAACGTACCTGCTTTTTCCTTTTCCATTTGAATGGCGAGAGGCTAAGCCAAGAACCTCACGAATCGGTTTTGTTCAGAGCTTCGATTCATTTTCTGCAGATGTGCACGAGCCGCCGTCACCTCGCCCTGTTCGTCGTCTCGTGGCCTTTAACTACAGGAACTCTGGTCCCCTTCACCTGGTTTTTCAGGACTTGGGTCTCTTAGGCTGGCGTGTGGCACCGCATTCAGTTCTGTACACAATATCTCAAGTGTGTGTTTGTGTGGAGGTTTGTGTACCAAATCGTCAAAGTTCTTGGTTGCCTTCATTGAAGAAATCAGCCAGGTTTGTGTCCCTGCACAGCAAGACCATGGAAGTACTGAGGATGGCACGTCATCGTAAACAATCGTACGGATTCCACCTTCCCTGCTGAGGAACAAACTCTTGATAGGAGGATCAATGGAGGATCAAGCTGTGAAGAGTTCATGATCAGCTCACCTGCGCAGAAGGTTTGTGGGAGTCCTTTTCTGAATTTGGGTATTGGTGAAATAAGCCAGATGCTGTCTGCTGCCAAGACCCTCTGGTTAGATCCAAAGTAGCTGGGTATGATGTCTTAATATACTACGTGAAAAACACATGGGCGGCGAACACCCCACATGGAGAGACATAGCCATTCCTTCTTGGGTGCGAACCAAGGCGGATGGTTATTGGCTTGGTCATAGGTAGCCAATGTTTTTTTGCTTGAACCAAAGGTTGAACCTATCAGGTGTGCCTTGGTGCTTCATGAGTGTGGTGTGCTTCAGGTGCGCCCGAGGTGGTCCTGCTCCGCTTGATGACCTTGTCGCCCAAGACAGCTGCGCCCTTGCCCGATCACCCAGCGGGCGAAATAGGTGAGTATAGGTGAGGTAGGTGAATGGGTAGCTGGAAACCTGCTTCGTTGAAGTGCTTGAGGCAGTGGTTTTGGGGGGCCAATCCGGTTGCCGGTTCACAGCGGCAACGAAGCTGGCAAGAAAAGGACATTGGTGCAAGACAAGGACTTTGCAGGGCTGAAGAAGGTGGCACTCGATTAGTCAAGTGACTTTGCACGAAGACCCAGACATACACGGAACAAGGCCTCCTGATGATGTGACCTGACAGGTTGGCCGCAAGAGAGCACAGCCAAACTTGCATACAGTCCACTACGATGATGGGAATAGCACGGAGAGGTACAATCTAATAAACATAACCTGCTGTGTCTTTGAGTGATTCTTGATCAAACACTGTTTCGAACTGGACCGTACAGTCAACAACCATACTGATGTGATGTCATGTCAAATGGTCAACGGAGGGTGTCAACAGTTGCGAGACACGTCCCAGATGTATACAATAGCCGTTCAATAATCTGCAACAATACTGCTAGCCTTGAGCTGGCAAGTCCAGAGAAACAATAGCGCTATAACTGCACAGCTTGAAACAGCGCATTTTAAAAGCAACGTCTCTTGACTCACGCCGTGCAGCGATGGCACCCTCAGTAGAGGAACATCACCTTGACACCTTGACAATCAGCGAGTTATGTACCATGCTTGTGGGTTCTGAGTACGACTCCACCTCGCCGTGAATGGCTTTAGATGGGAAAATGAGAGGGACACCCAAGTGGCTTTCGGTCACCCCGACAAATCCAGGCGGTGAACAGGATTTATGGGTGGCCAGTGCAAGCGTCCAGCATCTCCTTCGTTGTATGCTGCACAAAAATGGCATGAAAAAACGGGTTCCCCAGGTGATCGAGCCAGGTCACTGTGGAAGGTGAGCAGTGCGTCCCATCCTTCCCAACACATGAAATGCCATAGAAACTGCCAAAAGTTCCCCTCACCCCTTTCTTTGCCCCACGGAACATCGTGTCGGCTCCGGCAGCTCTGAGGCAGTGGAGCAGTGCGTCACCCCCTGTGGTGAGCTCCGTCGCCGTGCCACGGCTGGCCGACCTGGGCGCCGGCACGGTGCCCGGGCCCCGGTGAGGCTGACAGTGGCTAAAACAGAGACCACTTAGGTAAAAAGACAGTGGCTGCGAATCGTGAAGAATTGCGAGCCTCTGCGGAATTGCTGGTCATTTTTTGGACGTGCATTCCACATTCCAAGTGGATTTTCGCGTGCTTCACATGCCACGAAGAGCCGTTCAGAATCGGGAACACCCAGAAATACGCACTGAAGAGACTCAATAGGATGCCCCCAAAATGGTGTCAGCTGACCCATTTGGGCACGATGCTTCCGCTCCATATGGTTTTGCAGACATCATGTCAGTTGCAAGCCTTGTTTTCAGCCAAGCTCTCCAGTCCAAGCCTTCAAAGCCTGAGATGTTGCCTCAAGGGCCTTTGGGACGAATTCTGTGTACTTCGTAGGGCTTTGTTTCCAATGCAGCGCCGGTCGCGTTCACAGTGGATCTATGATGAAGAGCCGGAGTCGCTCACCGTAAATGCCAGCTCTTAGAACCGCTGGCGGCGCCCAGCAGTTTAAAATAGCCTTGGCTCAGTAGCTTGACTGTCCGGTTGCACATTGATGTATGACAAGTCCGCCACGAAAAGGGGTCAGCAGAGGTGTGTGTTTTTCGAATTGTTCGGAGCCGACTGCCGCCAGAGTTGATCCCGGGTGGATCGGGTGGATCGCTGGGGGACCCTTTCAGAATACCTCGCTGACTCTTCAGGTGGCAGTCGAGACATTTTCTGAAGAATTGGCCTCCGGTCCAGTGGGTGGCAGATTGTAATGTGAGTGTTTTTTCATGTTCCGTAGGAAGAGAATCCTCAGCATGACTTTCATATCATGCAGGGGTCTGCGTTACATTGCATTCCACCAAACGGACCAATGGAGCAACTGCAGCCCCTCCAAGGATGCGGCTCATGCCCACATCCTTGGGCTTCCGGCTCTTCCTGCGCTTCTTCCTGCAACCGGGCGCCATCTCAAGGGAGGCGGAGGGTTGGAGATGTTGGGGGGAGTGATGGTGGTTTCACTGGGGCAGAATTTTGTGTTCAGGATCATGAAGAGAAGGTTTTTGTACCACTTGTTTGACAAGATCAGCCTCCAAACTGAGCAAGATGTTGAAGAAACTTCTGAAGGAGATGGCAAGATGTTGACCAAGCAAAGTACCTCTGCCCCCAAAGCTCGGTTGTCACCCGCAGTCTGCGCCGCAGTCTGCGCCGCAGTTTGCGCGCCAGGGCCACTTGCCTCTCATTCTACAGCGTGCGGCCACGCCCAACGAATCGGCTCGGAGAGCTCAGGTCATTTGGTTGGTACTACAGTTGATGCACGACATCCTGCACCACCTGAGACAAGGAACACTCCAATTTTTAGCGGTGTTTTGGTGGTGAACTTGGTGTGAACTTGTTCTGTATGGATTTTCGAAGACCTGGAACCAAGATTACCTTTGCTCCCTTTCTGATTTGAGGATCAATCTTGAACTGGTGGCACGACCCTCAGGTCGGCCATCGCTATGTGACTCAGTACCAGCTGCGAGTTCGGATGAAGGGGGAGACTCAAAAGGCCTGGTCAGTCCGATCAGTGGGGTCAACAAACATACGGTCAAGAAGGCTTGCTGTTCCCAACTTGGCTACCGAACTCTAGAAACTCTGGGATATGAAGTCCTTCAGGTCCTACTCCAAGCTAGCAAACTGCTCCATGGGCCGGCGATGAGTGAAGGCCTCCAGGTGTTTTTGCCAGGTGGAACGCCCCTGAACCTGGAGCTTCGCCCCTTCGAACTTAGACATGGCCGTCCCTGCCAGGAGCTGCCAGTGGGAGTGCGAGGCCCCCGACGTCCGGGCACCCCAACGATGTGTGTGTTCATGAGTGCCTGGCATGTTGGAGTCCTTTTCAGCACGGGGTGAGACGATGACCCATTATTCTTTTGTTTTGGAAACGGAAGACACTTGTCCTCTATCAGCGGTTTTCACGGGATGCGCGTTTGTTTCCGACTTCTGACCAACCTCATCCGGTTACCCCACAATTCTGGACGGGCTTAGAGAGGTGCGGGATCACCAGCGAGTGGGGAAGATGAGAGTTCTGCACAAAGCTGCCTAGTGAAAGGGGTGGCCCGTCGAACGTCCGGGTCTGAGTCTGACCTTCCTGCCGAAAATCCGGTGAACAGCCCACCGAATTAAGAGGAGATATGTGGAGTAACTATCCCGAGGAGTCACATGGCTACTGGAAACTCACTCAAAAGACACGGTTTCACATGAATGTCCTGGACGAAGCGCCTGCGACCAACTCCCTCAGGTCTCCCAGAGAGACGTTTGGACAATAAGCCCACGGAGACCCATGACGTCAAAGCCGGGGTAAAACCACAATCCGAGAGCAATCGAAAGCATCTACAGTACTGTAATTCAATGAATTAGTGCGGCATGACCAGCAGCGAACTAGTACTCTATCGAGTGATTGCTTCCAATCGATATGTTTGTTCCCATTGTGCTGGAATTTCAACAAAGATTTCTGGCGAACTTCACACGGAATCTCAACAATGGCCTTTGGCTGCGGAGCTTGATGAGCAGTTGCCGGTCGAAGCTCAATATGCTCAATCAACCCATTTGGAATCATTTTGATCATTTTGGGATTACCAGGGCAAGTAAGGGAGGGAAGCCATGCCTTTCAGCAGGCTTCAGTGGGGACTGCCGGAGCAAATGCCGACTTCAGATCCATGTCTTGTTGTGCCTCCTTGCTGATCAGGAAGTCTACTGCAGCAGGCTTCAGTGCTAGCCAAGTTGAACCATAGAAGAAGCCCCTGTTTTCTTGTATCGAGGGTAGTTGCAGTGATATGTTCGAGATGTCGGCCAATGGCACGGAGGTCATAGGCCTGCCATGGTAGGCCTGCACGTTTATTCTTTAGGAAAGCACCTTCTTTGCAGAGTCAGGGGCGTACTGCTTGACGAATCTATTTGATTGTTTGCACTAGACTCATCATTATCCAAAGAGGCAGAAATCTGCCTGAAAAAACATGAGCAACATGACAAGTTCGTTCCAGGTGATTCCATCATTCGTTTCCACTCGTTTTTGATCCATCCAAATTGGAGAGGTCACATCTCTATGAAGCCTGGAGCTTTCACCGATGCCAAAGTTTGGGTCAATGTCATCCTTGTCGAGTCAGGTTCAAAATTCTTCCAATTGTTGTTCTATTGTAAGACCCGCAGTAAGCTCTCCAAGCGATCACAGGGATCCAGTGACCCCACCTTCAGGTTTGGAAGGTGAACGCTGCACTGCATGTGAACCCTCCCTTTTTCAATCAGAAGTTCCAGCAGAAAACAAGCGTCGAAGCTGCCGACCGCCTATGGGAGCCATGCTTCACCGTTCCCCTGGGCGCCCCATAGAGCATACTCCCGGCATCAGCCCGCCCGGGCGGGCGCACTCAGGCTACATTGAGTTGCCCCCCAGTTCTCTTCCGACGCCCTGCACAGCGCCCGGCGAGGCTGGGGTCGGGGATTCAGGCGACATGCCTTTTGGGGCCGGTAAGGCTGGAAACCGGGGCCTATTTGGATGCCAAAACATCAAGCAGATGGAACTGAGGCAGTTTCCACTTTTGTTTCATGGCGTAATGTCATTGTCCCAATATACAGGTCGGCCACATTTGCTGGGTCAGTCGCCACAAAATTGCTACAAACATATGCGGTTGGCATGTGGAAGCGGATTCTTGCCAGAATCTGCAAAAGAAACACCTCAAAAACGCTTTGGTGAGTAATTGGATGTATATAATTGATTCATTGAGAACCCTGCCTGTCTCACAAGGGTTGACTTGGCTCATGTTATTGTTTTGGTAGGGGGTAATTCTGTGAGATGAATTCCCGATATTCACCTTATGAACATGCATCATATACTGGGCAGGGGCTGGACATAGCGAAATAGGGGTCTCGTTCCATTCTGCCCCACTCTTCCAATGTGCACTTCGGCCGTGCACTTCGGCTCTGGAGGTGACTGACATGGGCGAGCCGGAGACCACCGAGGAGGTGCCCTTTTGGGCGAGGGGTTCTGGTGTGTGCTCCCCAAATCAGACGATGGATCAAGATCATTCCAGATCCAGTTTGGGGTCTGAGGTCTTCATTCTCGAGCCAAATTCATCGAAATTTCATGTGGATGTGGGTTTCCCATTAGTTCTTTTTGCTGGGCCAACCACAGATTTCGATCCACAGACTCCATGCCGAGGGGGATGGGCAACGCGACAGCCTTCCGACACGTCCCAACAAAATCGCCAACTGCCGGGCCGAGACATACCTAGCAATAGCACGATGTCAAAACCGCCAGTTGTTGTCAGTCCTAGGCTACCAGTTTGATGGCCACAGAAGCTTGAAACGCAGCCAGATCCGAAAGCCCCATTGATCCTAGAATCATAGAGATGGATGGCCAGACACAACCAAGCACGATAGCCGTTTTAGTTGGGAGAAGCATGACAAACAACCTACCACAGACTAAGTCAGTGTTTGCCGTTTTCCGTGGCCTTCGTATTTGCGCTTCCGACAGGCCTTAGTCGCCGGGCTGCTGGGGCACTTCGGCACGAGGTATGAGCTCATGGCCCGAAAGCCCAGAGCGTCGAGGAAAGCAATTTTGGATCGACAGAAAAGGCCTTGATCGAAGGAAAGATCGGAGCGAAAGTTTTGGGGCATTTGGGGGATGTGGACAACTTGGGAGATATTTCTTTGGGGTCCTTCTTCAGGGAGATCTTCTTGAGATCAGAGAAAACATGAGGGACTTGGCTTTGCAGGGAATCTGGAGAAGCTGATGGCGGATCTTGGGGGATTACAGTCGGAGCGGTCTATGAAAAATGGGGCATATGGCGTGAAGCCAGTCTTGCCACCTGCGAGAAAAAAGAAAACCGCCACTCATGTCGCTTCTCTCGCCGGTCTCGCCGGTCTCGCCCGCGGGCAGCTCTGGGAGGTTGACTTGGAGGAGAAGCTTTGGGAGGTCCTGATGGGACACGAGCTTTTGGAGGTGCCACATGGCCAGTCACAGGGTAAGCTGAGCTTCTGTGTCGTGTTGGAATTGTTTCGGAGCGTTTGGGTGGAAAGCAAATTACTAGAGCATCTCGAAATCCACTTGCCAGGCCTCCATGCGAGTTGGCACAGAGCATCGCTGGCCAGGGACTTGTTTCGGTGGCTTTTGCATTTGAGAACGGCTGCACCCAGCTTCCAAATCTGCACCTGATGCGTACAGCTGGGACTTGCCCAGAATGCTTGCTTAGCAAATTGAGAATCAGGAATGTTTGACTACTTACTACTTGTGCTAAGCCGGTGTTCTTTCCCCAGCATGCAAGCTCGAGGGTCTTGTTCGAAGCGGTTCATTTGTCTTAGGAGTTTGGGGCGCCTCTTTGCCGATGCCCATGTTGATAGCAAACATGGACCATTTTGAACATGACACGGGCGGTTGCAGAACAGTTGTCCTCCCTTTTTGATAGGATTTCATGAAGTTGCCAATCTAAAAGCACCCAAAGCTGAGTGCCTAGTGCCAGTCTGACCTGGCAGCATTCGGAGCGGTCCGTTATACCTTGAGGTCTTGTTGGACACCATGGTCAGGGGCACAGGGCCTTCAACTCCCCTTGCCGACCCCGCTCAAGCGCCTCGTCTCACAAGCACCGAGTCGAATGCAAACGGAGATGAAGAGATGACGGAACGATGACATAAAAAACTTGGCTCGGAGGGTGTGCTTTAATTCTTTGGGGGGAAGACCGCGTACTGACCACATACATAGGGGAGGCAGTCCTTCAGTTTCATGTTTGCCTTCTGTGCATACTCCTTTCGAACAATACCAATTGATTTAGTTGATGTTTTCGAGGAGACTCGGCTTCTCCATGTCCCCTTACAACCCCTGCAAACTTCAAAGGCAATCTTGGGCCATTGGGGTATGGACGACCATGGAGGGATCCAAACCACTCGCACACGCACACACACTTTTTCCCAGACTGCCTGGTGAAAACATTCTTTCGAGTGCGATTTTGGCACTTTGAGGGAGGGTTCTATTTCTGGTGATCAAATTTGCTACTACATAGATTCTTCTAGATAAATGTAACTAATGTACCCTGGATCAAAACTACACACTTGAGCCAGCAAATTTTGACCATTGATGACCGAGACGGTTGCTTTTTCCTCAACCTGCCCTTCAGCTTTGCACCTTACATCGGCCACCGAGGTGAAAAAGCTCCTAGTAGCGTCCGATCGCTCCTAGTAGTAAGGCCAGGAGCCCCTAGTAGCGTCCTTGTTCCTAGTAGCGATGCCAGGAGCCCCTACTTAGTAGCGTCCTCTACCGCCCCGAACTCCAACGCTCCAGAATTGCTCCGCCGTTCAGGACGAGCAGCGCCAGTGCCGAAGCTCTGGGCCCCACGGCCATCCGAGTGAGCTCGGGCCCCCAGTGGAGAGGATTGCTCGGAGTTGGTTCCAACCTGAACCGGCAGCTCCAGTCTGGTTGCCATGTGGGGAGAAATTCATACGGGGTGGCCCTACCCCGTGTTGGTTAATATCAAAGGTAGCGGAGCTTGTGTGGCCCTGGATTCCCTGGATGATCGCCAGATTCATACTATACACTCCCGGCATGTGGAACCGGGGCCACGGGAGTCAGCGGGAACATGGAAGTGCGTCATAGTTGCCCATGCGATGGTAAACAGCAGGACCCAATAAATATACACAGTTTAAGAAGCACGGTCCACTTCTGCATAATCTAGTTTTTAGTTGGTCCTGGATTCACCCTTGGATGTCTTCCATGTTTATTAGACAGTGTTTTACTGCGGAAAACACTGGGACCCCCCCCCCCAGCAAACTGCCAGTCTGCATTTTTTCTTTGACGCTCACCAGTGCTCTTTTCTGCACTGGGAGTGCTTTCCTTGGAGCTTTTCGACCCAATGCAAGCCCTCATCTGCTTTCTTGTCGTGGCACTGCCAGCATCAATGCCTGCAACAAGACGGAGGCTTTTGGATGAAGCGCCCAGATATCGAGCTTGCCACTGCATGGAATTGGTGCGATAAGCCAAACTCACGCCCACCACATTGGGTAGCTTTATGGGTCATTACCGTCACACTTTTTCACAGACACAGATGTCACAGAAGTGGACAGAATATCCAAGCCATTCTAGAGTTCCATATGTACATTATACAAAAACAAGCTGGGTCACCCAACCTATGCCATACTATGCCTATTTCCGTGTTGGGCCGCTAGGTCATATACACCCTGCTGTGACATGAGGACTACCTCAAGAAAAGTGTAGGCCCTGCCATTTTTGATCTTAATATAACGAAATATAAAGGCTGAGGGGGCAATGGATTCATCAGTTCAACCAGTGCCATGAAGCTGAAGAGGCTCTGAGACCCTGAACTATCCGGATTTGGACTTGGATCGGGACTGTTGAGAGCACGGTTGAGCAGATTGACCGTGTTTGACCAGCAGCCTGTAAATTCCAAAGATAGAAGGACCTGGAAAGCACGGTCACTCCACAGCAAGAGCAAAGCCAGTTAGTGAAGGGAGGTCATTTTCCCATTTTCAAGCTACCTCAACCCTCGTCTTCAACTTGTCTTCATTTTCCAACAAAAAAGGTGGCCACCGGCGATGAGGTTCAAAAGGTCGGCCCGGTGATGATGCCGACTTGTTCAGCTTCCTTTAGGAAGCTGCTCAGAGAGTGGCAACGACCATGTCACGATCCAAACCAACGGCCTCAGGCTGCACGTTTCGTATCGTGTCCCGAGGCTGGGCGCCCTTCGACCGCGCCCCGGGGGTGACCAGCTGCCCGGCTTGGAGATCGATCATGACCATAGAGATCGAACGAAGAAGACTCGTTTTTTCATACAATTGCAAGAGGATTTCAATGATGGCCAACTCAACCCTTATTCTTCTGTTGGTCATCCTTTTCTCTGTGGAACTTCCCTTTTTGGGGGGAAGGTGCGGCACCACCGTAGTCCTCCGTTTGGTGGACTCGGGTGCAGGGTCAACCCGAAGACCTCGATGCACCAAGGCTTGGAGTATGTGATCCAAGCGGAACCCCTTCTGGGTGAGGATGGAACCTCTGCCGGGGACACCCAGGGGCGAGCTTTGAGCTGCTTGGAGGGGTTCGAAAGGGTTTATATACTGATGACTGATGACCCTATTTGGCAAAAGGATGCCCTCAATGCAAAGACCTTCCTCCTAGTATATTTTCTGGACTCATTCGTTTCCAATAGAGGGAGAAACCATTTCTCAATTTCTTCGTGCCTCAACTGACCCCGAGAGTCAATTGGAACACAACAAATTGGGATTCCAAAAGCAGGCCAGGTGGTAGCACTTAGAGCTAGAGCTAAGACAATTTACTGTACCACATTATAGGTGGCATACTTGTTGGTAGAGGAACCCCCAGCAGAAGCTTTTTGCAAGATTGCACATGTACTGCCAATGCATTCTATCAAGTAGAGCTGGAGCTTTCCCATACATATTTGGAGCCGGCGCGGAGCGATGGACTTGACTAAAGACTCAGCGATTTGAAGTTGAGTTTCTTTGATGGACCAACTCCGGGAACCCCCGGGGCCTGCCATGGTAGCTTGTGATATGAGAATTGTCTTAGGTGGGCAAAAATTGAGCGCTGCATGGAAGTGCAACTGGCAAAGTTTGCGAAGATGAAGGACTCAAACGCACACATCCTTGGCTGTGCCTGGTGATTTCCAGTTCTCACTGTATTGGGTCGTTGTGACCAAACGATCGATCGTCTCACACGTCGATTTGGCAACAATTTCCACGTTCGGAAGGACACAAATTCCAACACGCCTTGAGACAACAGATGTTTGGTTGTGTCCACTAGCACAAGGAACCGCCATGGGTTGTTGCAGGTTCCTACCAACCTTCATCATCAACGAGCTTGTAATAAAGGCATCAAAGCGCATCAAATAGGCAATAAGTTTCTTTCTTTGGCACCAACCTTGGGAAGTTCTCTTGCGCCACACTGCAAGTGGTGCAAACATCAGAACCTGAGCCAAAATGACAGCCAAGGTCATGAAGCCCATCAAAGACGTTTGCTTTTTCTTCAAACACTTCAATCAAGCATGTTTTCATGTGTGAAAGCAAGTTCCAGCAAGTCAGCACTAGTTGTACGGCCACAGACACCTCTTTTCAGGGTCCTTGGGATAGCGGAATCCAAAGCCGAAGGGTGCCGCTGTTGCCGCCCCTTCCGTCGTCTTAGGGCTCCAGCTCACCTGCTGAGACGGTGATTTGCTTTCAGCACGAGCGAGGGCCACAGCGCTGTGAAACGATGCGTTGGGACACAAACAACGACGAGAAGAAGAGGGCCTGCGGCCTCTTATACAAATCACCAGAAAGGGGGGAGAATGTGGTGACAGCCTCGACCTGCAGATCAAGAAGAAAGATGGGCTTCGAGAAACCAACATCTGGTGGGGATGAGGTTGTATAGAGTATTTCAATTTGCTTTGCTATGGTACATACGGATACTCATATTTTGACCTCTGTCTTGGTGTGACATGGGACGATGGATGAAGCCGCCTTTTGGATTTTCTGCCGTGCTTCCTAGGCCCCGGAAGCACGATGGCCAGCTCGTGGTCACACCACAGGCACGGAGGATGGTGGACTTGACGAGGCATGGAGTCAGGTTTGAAGTGGTTAAGCTGGAAATCTACCCGCTGAGAGAAGTCGCTCTTCTTGAGAGTAGAGAGTACATTCACAAATGACACATTTCTGGGCTTTTGAACCTTGCCATTCTCGGGCAGACCGATGTAGGTCCCAACTGAATTTATGGTTCAAGCATTTCACCTTGATAGTGAGAGAAGCGCAAGCCCTAGCACTCCACCAAGACGTGATAGGAGAAGCACCATTTTGGCTTGATTTGAATGAACTTATGAACCCATTGTTCTCAACATTGCACAACTGCACAACCGATGCTAACCGGCTAACTCCAAGGGAAAGTTTGCCATTCGGCTTTTCACGCCCGCCAGCTCCCCTTTTCCTTCTTTTGTCCCATCTCACTCGGTTTGATCCATAGCAGCAACCACAGGTCTCTCAGCTGCGACCTTCAAAGAGACCGGTCGAGTCGGGTGCTGTTCTTTCGAATGAGCACGAAATAGCATGAAGCAAGACATGGATCGGTGGACCATGGGATCAGTCAATGCCCCCAACTGCCTCCCCGCCCCGTTCCGCTCCGCCCGTTCGGTCCCGCCGTTCGGCAGTTCCAGCGGCTCTTGGATCCCAAAGAGATGTCCGGCCTGGGCCGACTCGTCAGTGCCTTTCAGGAGACGCCGAGACCGGTTTCAGGTCCCAAGGAGAGCAGTCCTGGAGAATCCTTTGGACTTCTCTAGCTGCTATTCGATGGAACATCGAAAATGGAAGAAAAAGCTAAAAGGTATCTCCTGATCTACTGCACTTTGACTGACCGGTCAGTCAAAACGATAAGAAGTTGAGCCAGTACTATTTAGGCCACAAAGCCCAGTGGACAATTCATACTGTATATATAATTGTGGCTTTGGCTTTGGCTATCAAAAAGTTCTGCAGGACCAGAAGCGCGATCTCCAATACAACTGAACATATGTTGGTGGTTTGAACCCCATCATTCGTGATTCCAGTCCAGTTCGATCTTCGCTGCTTCTGCCACAGGACATCCGGGACCTAGAGGGGGCCGACGAAAAAGACACCAAACTGCAGGTCGGGGCTGCTGTTGAGCGGGTGCTTTGCTTTGGGAAACTTTTGGTTTGGGAGCACCAGCCTGTGGTTGGTGGCTTGCATCGGAAGTACCAGGCTGCTAGGTAGCTTTATTTGCTTTTGCTCACACTAGTTGTGGTTTGGGTGATTTGGTTAGTTTGTCTTGGTTGCTCTGCAGATCATCATGTAAGACTAAGCGATGCAACCATGTGGAACCCCAAACAGACCGGTAAACAGCAGGAAACAGGACAGGTGTAGAAAACGGAGTTTCCATGTGGAAATGAACAAGCTTCTATTGGGGCCCGATTTGAAGTCGTGAACATCGTCCCAGCTTGAATGCAAGACCTTCGCCCGAAAGCAGACCACCCAATCACCACTCCGTCAGCCTACAACCTTGACACTTGACACCTATACTTTCTATGACATAGTATCTACTAGTAACCATATCAGCCATGGTGGTAACTAGAAGAGTGGCTACTAGACTCACGGCCTAAACAAGAGGCGAGTGCGCCCTTCCAGTGACACCTGGCCTGTCAGGTAGAGGTGTCAGGTCTCTTGCCCTGGACCAGTTACCTGGTCTCGGCTCGGGTGCTCAGCCTTTGTCCGGATGGCACAGCGCATGTCCAGCGACAAGAAACGAAGTGACTGGTAGTTGCGACCACGTGAAAGGTGCTTCCATCAGCTTGGAGTTCTGGATTATGAATGGGAACATTCTTGTTGGAGATGTGTGTTTTCTTACTTTCTGTTGCATTGCATCCTGCGTTGAGGTTGCTAGCTTGACCACGCCTAGCAGTTGTTTGATGCTATTCGAACTTGCTCCGGTCTCGTCCTCTCCAGGTCTCTGCCCGCTACCCGGCAGGGGCAGGCCAAGACATCGGTAAGCGACGGGATGCTTCACAGGATGTCACGGTGACGAGCGTAACTCGGGCCATTTGCAGCCCAGCAGCTGTAGTTAACCGTCCTTCAGCTGATATAGAGTGGTATGTCCACTGCTCCAAAGTCTCCTTGACCGTTGCGGCATAAGGGCCAAGCATGGCAGCATGTTCAGACAAGCTTTCTGTAGACCCTGCAGACTGGGTGCGGCCAGTGATTGATGCTGCGGCCATCATTCTGTTTGACGCCGAAGGCCTCTACCCACGGAGCCAGCTCGAAGCCAGGGGCCCAATGTGCCAAACACGGCTTAACATTGAACACCCTGTTTAACGTGCCAACAAGGAGTCTGAGTAGCCCAATGTTTCCAGCAAAATGATGCCAAGAAGGAGTTTCTTCTTAGAGAAGACAACTGCTAGTTCATTTATTTTCAGAGAACTGCAGGGTTTCAACATTGTAGGCCTCGTCGAGAGTGGAGCGGGCTATGCCAAAGGGGCATCAGTTCGGTTCTTCGTTGGACAAGAGTGGAGTTTGCAACTGGTCTTGAAAACTGCCAACACATCTTCGAATCTGACAGAGCTGCCTGTTGATCTACGCAGCACTGTTGCAGCGACTGACTTCATAATTATATATGTATATATATATTGATTGGTACATCTCTTGAGAATAACAACAAAACGGAAGAAACAATCAACTAGGGTGAAGGTAGACTCTTGTTTTCTTTTGCATGTGTTGGTTCGGTCTAGCAAAGCTTGCATGGAAAAGACATCCGAAACCGGCAAAGCCGACACAAAGAAAAGCCGGTTTCCATTCCTAAGACATTGGTGATGCCAGTGCGGAGGACCCCCGATCTCTCAGACTGCCTTTCCACCTCTCAGGGCAAGTCAGGCGGCTTGGGCTTGCTGGTGGGCCCCAAACTCACCACGCAGGCATCTGTGGTCGGAAACGGGAGTGGTCGGTTGAGTCCTAAGCTGTGGCGTCCTAGTAAGACGGAGGGGACACATTTTAGGACATTTTAGAAAGATGCAGCCACGCAGTGAGTGAGGATTGATTCAATGACCTTCCAGACATGTTGTTGCTGTTCATGCCTTTTCCACCCTACCAGCAAGGACTTCTTTGAGCTTTAGAAGTCAGAACCCATGCTTGTGGGCAGTACGCACCTGAATGTTCCAATTAACAAATGGACACCTGCTGCCACATGTTGTTGCACATGTGTTTGATCGACGTTCCCTTTCTCCACCCGATCGTCCTGTTGGCTAAATGGCCCTAAACGGCTGAAGATTCCTCCAAGTTTCATGCGCAACGCCCGGAATAATAAGGTAGACTATGGTCTTTTTGGGCCAATCTTGGGGGATACCCGACCTTATATAATCAATCAGGAGCTGGGGTGTCCACCCGAATTCATCAATGGTGGGTGGTCTGGGGGCATCTAGCGGGATCGCCATGGTGCTCCATGTTGCGAGGTGGAGACACCTGGAGGGCCCAACACTCCAACGCCTCCACGACAGGTGCGACCGTCGGAACGACCACGACCGATCAAATCCGACGGAGGGGGCCATAAAGGACCGATGGTTTTGTTCATTTGGTTCTACGTTTGTGCAGATCCCATGCAGATATGGGGAGAGAGGTGAGTTCCGCGTTCATTTCTTTTAAACATCAACGCAATGAGTCCGATTTTCAAAGTATGTTGTGAGTCTTTGGCGAACCTTCTTTGTCTTGCTTTTGGCAGAAGTGAAGCCCAAACTGTTCATTTCGACCACAGAGATGGGTACTACATGGTGCTACCTTGCAGCGTGGAGCTAGCGACAATCACCATCCTGGTTCGACCATGAATCCATTTATTCGTCGTTGAGCCCTGTGGCAGGGAGTTCAGTCACTCATCGAGCAGCCATCAGCAATTCTGGGATGAAACTGCTGGATTTCGGTGTGGACAAACAACTGCTGATTCGTGACCAGTCGTGACCAGTGGTGCAAGTAGGACGTTGGCCCCCTCGGCTGGCTAGAGTCACTACTTACCAGCATGGGATTTCGTGCGAGGAAAGTGTCAGATGTGGCCAGGGTCAAAGAGCTAAAAAGGCATACTTTTTGATGCAGAAATTCTTCTTTCAACAAACTGAAGGAACAACTCTGCACAGATTCCTCATGAAACATCTTCCATTGCCCCCCCATTCAATCAGATGTTCACATCAATCAGACGACCTCCGCAGTTTTGCTTTTCGTTCCCCACGGCAGCTCCGAGAAAACTGAAGCTCCGAGCACCGCAGCTGCGAGCGTTGCTTCAGGTGGGCTGGAATGATTTCGCGCACGACCTGGGAGAGGCCATGGCTGACAGGGCCATGGGCCATGGATTTCCCCATTGGACACCCGCGATTGTCAACGCACACAGTTGAATTCGAGACTCAGACAAAACTTGTTGAAAGAGCCGAGTCCAAATTGGGTCATACCGCCTAAATGAAAAGGTCCGATTAAGACTTCTTGACCGGCGAGTCGGACACCCAAGATGGGTTATCTTTGAGTCCGGTATGATCCGGTCGGTCGGGTTTGAGGCAATTGTGCTGTGGGGTCGCTGACTCATTTTGAAATTGACCCAGATATAAAAGCACATCACCTAGGCACTGCCATGATTTGAGGGCTGTTTTGAAGGATTTAGCATGATTTAACCACTGTAGTCGAGTTGCTGCTCCCGTAGTCTGTACTGTCGTGATGTGTGTTTCACCTTGGCTCGTGGTCCGCCTCTGGAACAGCCTGGAAAGGTCGTGACGAATCAGACGGTCCCGGTGTCATCCGGTGTCTCATGACCGGGTCTGCCTTGGGTCTGCTTTCTGGCTTTCCCGGGGAAAGCGAGTCGACCGTGTTTCGTGCCGGTGAAGCTGTTTCAGCCTGGGTGGGTCACTAGAGTCACTGTTGAGGACGACGCACGCAGGATGCGAGCTTCCAACCCAACATGCGTGCCATCCTGCTGAGCATCGAGGTTGCACCGCATCGAAATTTTGGCCGACACATGGCTGGTGCCATGGGGGACGCAGAAATCAACAGGTTGGGCAGGGTTCCCCATTCGAAGACACACCAAGATCAGGGATGGTGAACCTTAGCGCTGATGGATTGGGGACATGGGTCTGTTTTTTTTTGTTTAATACATGCTTTTCACCAATAAGTTTGTGATGGCCAGTTCAGTGCTGTATTCTGCGGCTGAGAGAGGGGATGGACACTGTAATTGTAGGCATGCAGAAACTTACATATCAGCATACACAAGCGAGCTTAACTAAAGAGTCTCCTTCTGTGCCTTGCTTCAGACAAGCCAGGACCAACCATGGCATCCAGTGAACCATGCTCTCAAACGGTTTCCAGGTCCCCAGTTTCTTGTTTATGATGTGGTCAGAAAGCAACAGCGATGTATGATGTATTCATTCCAAAGGGTAAAGGGGATGTGCAAAAAGGCCGCAAAAAGGAATCCCCTCAAACTATCCAGAACCGTAGGCTTCACCTCTTTTATGGTGCACTTGAGTCACTTGAGGTGCAGGGACATTCACAGATGGAGGCCGAACGACACATGATTGACCTCGAACGACACAGGTGTCACACCCGCGTGGGTTCTTTTGGGGGAATTGCTCAAAACCATCCTCAACCTAGGGGCCCTGTGTGGCAGGTGAGCAGGGGAATGGACACTCTGAATCCTCGGAAACACCTCTTCGCGTCCATGGTTAGACATTTTGTCAAGACGGATTGAAGTTGATAGAAAAACATCTGACCAGGGCTGCACACAGATCACTAAGGATGTTGGAAGGCAGTAGGCCCCAGTAGGCCAATATAGGCCAATACTTTTCATTTTTTGACCGTTTCAACCGCAGGACCGCAGGGACTATGTTTTGGAGTACAGAGCCTGCTCACCCTTCTGGGCGCACTACGACCCACAGGTGAAGATGAGTGTCGCTCAGTGATGTTCATTGATCCCCCTAAAAGTTGCTTGGAGACCGTGACGTGGGGGTTTTCTGCAAGTTGAGCGGGTTGAGCAAGAAGCACTGTGACGTGGGCATTTGGGGAGGTCGATGAGGTCCTATGACCAGTGAGAGTCCCCCTGTTCGGAGCAAGGATACTTTTTTATTTGTCTCACCTGCTACCGCCAAAAGTCCGCCCTCCCTCATCTGAGCAACGAATAGATTGGCCCACCAGGAACATTCTCCTCTTAAGCCTGGGGTGGTTTTGATCCTTTGACAAGTCGATGTGATGTATTTGGAGACGTGAGCACTGCCCTGGGTGATGGGTCTAGAGTCTAGAGCCTAGGGTTTGCAGGTCTTGATATGGCACTGACTATGGGCAACAAGAGGCATGCTACATGGCTCACCAAAGTTTCTCATCTAAAAGAAGGAGACAACAACAGACATCATGTGACTCTTGGATCTTTACAGCCTGCCCGAGCAAACCCTCCGCCTTGCCATTGGTCTGCCCCGTTTGCAGGTGGGGGCAGCCCTCAAGGAGTTCCAAGGCAGTTGGCCACGGCAAAAGCTCGAGGAGGGCCCTGCGCTCATACCTCACCGACATGGATTTTCTTCGTTTTGTGGCTTAGGGAGTCCTCTCATGTTGAGGTGCTAGATGACTTGATGTAAAATCCTCCCTCCGTGACACTTGGCGAACAGACGGACAGTCTCAGAACATGGCAGCTGGCCGCCTCTTTTGGTCCTGAGTATTGACAAGGGATGTTCCAGCATGTTCTTTCCATTTTAGTGCAGCCTTTGGACTCGCTGAAGCCAATCAATCCACCAAATTGGGCCAACGAACCACACAATTGGTGCACAACTTCTAGTGAGTATGGATTGTTGAACGATTGAAGATACATTCCTCAATAAACCAAGCAAAAGAACCGGGGACAATAGGTCACTGAGGTGACCCGATCGATGACGTCAGGAGGGCGCATGGAAGCGGGTCCCCACGGTGAAACGCTTGGGCAAAGGCGCAGAATCAGAGAATCGGCCCCCGATGGGGGGAGGAGAATCGGCCCAAATCGGGGACTTCTGTTGGAGAGAATCGGCCCTCCCAAGACAAAGCGGCTCAATGACCGTGCGGCTCAATGAGTTGTTGTCCTAGACCGAGCAGTGTCAGACCCAGGAGTATGAAACAGCCAGCGAAGATGGACGCAGACAGTGCCATATTATATAGTATGAACAATGCCTTGTCCAAGGTCCATAGATCCTGAGATTTTTCCGTGCTGTTTGCCACATTCACATCCTCCCTGGAAAAGGTTCGGCACGCGTAGGGTCCATGGGATTCAAGGATGCTACACTTGCACTGCCAGGTTTTGGAGAGGCCTACAAACCTCAGAACACGGCGGTATCGGAAGAGGCACGTTTTGACGAAACCGGCGGCCAGAAAGGGAAGGGCTGGATGGTGGATTTGAAGGTTTTATTGGAGGTCATGAGTTTTTGGTTGTGCAGGGCTTTGGTGCCAGTTGCCCATCTTTGCTGGCGGTTGGCCGTTGGCCTGATTGAGAGATATGTCTTGCGAATGGTGGGAATGGGTCAACAGGGGGGGTTTATGTTGGATGCACCTGGAGCAGCCGACGACTGGGATTTTTCACCTCATGAAACCTGAAAGAGCCAAGGAGCACGTTGCAGTCTCAGTATGACCGCGCCCACTTGAACATAGGCCTGGGAAGACCAGAACACCATCTTCCTCCACAAACCTCATGTTTGCAGTTGCCGTGGCGGAGCAGATCCGGACTTGCAAATCCGAGTTGCTGTCGAAACAATGTTGCCATGATCTTGATCAGAGAGACCGTATCTGCCAGATGTGCAGACCGGCTAGAAGGGAAGAGAGAGAGAGAGAGAGAGAGAGCGCGAGAGCGAGAGCGAGAGCGAGAGCGGAGAACCTTGCACAGAGTGCGTTGGAAGTGAGCGTAATAAAGAGTGGTTTGCTCAAGGTCCTTATGGCCAATCTCCGGTGAATGAGGCCCTATGATTTGGCAATTGAAGAGTTGCATTGTTCAGAGTCTAGAGTCTGGTTGGGCGCATCGACCTTCTTTTCAAGACCATGGTCGTCAGCCCCTGGCGGCAATTTCCCATGCTTCTACCACTTCGGTAGGTTTATTTTTTGAATGTAGGTATGCCTCGGCCATCCTCAACCATCAAAACCAAGTACCTACAACCACGTCGGAGTGTATATAAGACCAAAAAGACACCCGCTTGCGACCACATGCGTCGGTGCCTCCGCTTGGGCCATGGCGGCGGCCGCACCCGCTGGACGCGGCACCTGGCCTTGGGTGGCTCGGCATGGCGACCCCGCAACCAACCCTTGGAAGTGAGCTTCTGTGGATCCCAACCCCCCGCACGCCACGCTCCACTCGCTTTTCGGTGGGTGTGTCGTCTTTGTATTTTCACCCGTCGCCGACCCCGGGTGAAGTCCACTATGACCGGGTCGGATGCTGCAGTCGATGGCCAAGCGAAAGCCGGCCTTAAGGTAGCCTTTCGGCCTCGCTCACCTTTGGGCTGCGAAGCTTGCGGTGCTTGGTGCTGCCTGCAGCCACGATCCAGGAGACCTGGAGGACATGAACCTTCTAATGGTTTTCCTCATGTGCTAGATTAGGGTCATGGGAAATTATCCCATGTTGATCATTTAGCTTGCGATCCCTTCCAACATATGTTTCTTGCAAAAGTTTGAATTGTGTTCCGCTCCGCTAACAGGGAACTGGCAGGGAGGGTTCTCACCGCAGGGATGACAAAGAAAGTCGCCAAACAACACCCCACCAACGTTCTGAATTGGGACACATACAGTAACCATGATTATCGGATCCTCATATTGTCTCTCAGGGTGTCTTGTGGTATTCTGAACATAGACAATCACAATTACATTGGGGCATCCTTCCAAAATCCTTTTCAATACAGTACATTTCAAAATTAGGTGGTTATTTCCTTCTCACCTACTCTAAACTGAAACTGACATGCTCCTCACATCTCATCAGATAGCTGGTAGATGACATTCCAAGCAATCTATTCTCCCAGCTATGACATCATCCAGTGAATCATTTCGGCCCCCCAACCATTGGACATGAACCCCCGCGAAGATCCTTTTCCTCTTCAAAGTGCGTCTGGATATCTCGTTCAAAGGGGGTGTAAGTCTGATTTCACTGGCTGCACGTGGAGGAGATCGGCTTTATCACTGATGTGGAGGGTGCCGTGGAGAAGCTTCGCCCGAGGGCATGGATGTGCGGCCGATCAGAAGAGACGGGTGGCAACCACAATGGATTCACTTAGTATTGCATAGTATTGCACTGCCTGGCACTCCCAAGGTTTGCAAAGATGATTTCATCAACAAACGGGCAGGTTTGTTCCGGGGTTCCTTCAGTCTTCCTTCCTTCCTTCCTTCCTTCCTTCAGGAATCGATTAGGATTCCCACGTGCCAGTCGATGGCGCACGACACGAGGCGACCTGGAGACCTTCCGCCGCTACGTCGACAGCGGACACTCCGTGCTACGGCGTGTGGGCACCGGAGCGAGCTCGTTGCAGCTGTGCTCAGACCAGGCAGCTTTTGTGTTTGGAGGCCCGGCTACTGGTGCAGTTTGGTGGATGTTGGTGGTTAAACTGGAGAAGGCTTCACTTCTCAAGACTTTGTCATAGCTCGGAATCCCACTTTTTGTTCAAAAGAGGGGCCACTTTGGATGCTTGGCTCCAAAGTCCGAGCAGAAGTCTTTGGCATGAGTCGTCGATCATCCCAATGGCCCAATGGCCGCCAGGCCTCGATTGACCCGACATGAGGCAATCGACTCGATCGACTCAATTGTTTGTGCTGAGGCTAGTTGATCGAACGGTCTTCTACCGCGAGTGGTGTTCGGGCCCTTGACGAACCTAAAGCTCAGACGGATCTTCTAACAGACACACACACAAGCTTTGGGAGATGCTTTCGGTGTAGAGCAATTTAACTGGAAGAAGGCCAGGCCATTCAATTAATCAAGACTCTGTGCGGTCGGCGGCGGTCGGTGGCGGTTCGCCAGGAGATCTGTTTGATCGGGGACCCGGTGATTTGCAGCTGGCCAAAGAGCTGGTGGGCTTGAAACAGCGGCTTCTGGGAGCTGAAAGGGACTGTGGGAGCTGAAATCGGACGTCTGGAAAATCCCAGTGTCAGTCACAACGACGCGTGTCAACCGATCGACCTTGGGTTAGGGTGTTTCTATTGCGTCTTCACCCTGAGCCATTTGGGGACTTAGGACTTAGAATGGAACAGTTGCCAGGAAACCGCACATGTTGGGCTGCATTGATTGTATGAATACTACAAGGACGCTACTAGTAACAAGTGCCACGCTAGTAGTAACAGGTGCCTTACTAGTAGTAACAATGTTTGCTATTAGAAACAAGAAGCTATCACTTTTGTTGTCAAACCTCAGAGTTGGCCACCTGTGCGCGGGGTGCGAGCCAGATTCTGGTGTCGCTGCACAGGTTTGCCGTGGTGAAAGACATCAGAGAACATGTTGTGTCATGTGGTAACAGATTGGCCTTGGTTTGAACTTGTTGGATACTTTGAAACATGAAGCAGCCCTGCTTCTCAGAGTGAAAGCACCACATTGCTTTCGCATCCGGATCTCTGGAGTCTCTGAAGGCTTTCAGTTCTCTGAGGTATCCAGACCGGGTCTTCTTGCTCATGGGCAATCGGGACATCAACAAGATGCGCCTGACAGCTGAGCTCAGTGACTACGCCATGAACCGAACACCCAGTGAGGCCTTTAAGCCCTGGTGGGACAACAAGGCGGGGTTCCACGCTGGAGCGGTTGGGGGGGAGACGGGGGTCGTTTGGGATGTTTTTTTGATATCTAGGACATCTCAGAATTCGCAGAATAAGGCCCCCAAAAGAGGCCTCAAAGATAGATTCATGTTCTTTGCCCTGTACTCGCGGGCAAGTTGGTTGATCCTTGATCTATTTGTGTGTCCAAATGGTGTCCTCCCTTTTTGCCTCAGCTGCCTCCGTTGGGTTAGTTTGGAAGAACACCTTCGTGCTGTTTGAGTCCATGTAAGCACCGATGAACATGAACATACATGAACAAGGTTTGGGCATTCTCACACCTTTGCATTTCCAAGTTTGGGGTCCGAGTCAGGCCTATCCTAGTTAGCTCGCAAAGCGAGTAACGAGTAACGATGGACATCCAGGTCTTCGGATTGCCCGGTTCTTCCCGGGGACCCAGGTCTGGCTCGGTCCGAGTCAGGTGGTTCTGCACCTCGAGACCGAGTCTGTTTCTGCATGTTCGTCTGCTCGGACTGAGGCCATGGACCTGGTGAAATACCTGAGAAAGGACAATAAGGAGGATAGCCGCGTGAACCGCCTGAAGTGGATCCTTGGAAGGTCTTCCGATTCGAAGTAGGATGTTGGCCTGTAGAGGGGTGAAGGGCAACCTGGAGAAAGGGGCAAGTTCAGCTGGGATCCATGAGCCCCTTCCAAGGAGTTATACAGTTATACATTCTTAATTCCGATTTTTCGTCCACTTAAGGGACGAATTCCACAGGATTAAAGTGGGTTTGACCTGCATCAGGTGGCACCACAATCGCTCCAACCGAGCAGCGAATCCAGGGGGGTCTGTACGGGTGCTCCAGCTTTTGATCAGTCACTGATCAGTCACTGTCTTTGTGGCGTCTTCAATTATGTAAATGATGCATATAGATGGACATGATTTCGGAATTGTCTATGTGGCAGCTCAAGACAGCTACCCTTCTGGCCTGTGAGAACCTCTCAATGTGCACACTCTATACTCTTCACTGGCAAATGCAGCCGTCGGGGCCGTTGAAACTTCATGCCAAGGGAAGGTGTTCAATCCTACAAACTAATACGCTAAACTCCCACCAACCAAGCAGTTTCCCTCCGCTTAACGCCATCTTGTTGCATCGCCTCACGTCACCCCCCCATTCGTGCGTGAGCGAGCTCGCGCGCGTCCGCGTCCGGAGTGAGGATGTTGCACCACACCTTGGGCTCTCCAGCGGCCTTTGACTTCCGAAGAAAAGAGTTAGCGAACTTCTCGCGCGGCCTTGAGATCTCGGATGAGGAGGTGCTGGAGAGCTTTCTCGAATCGGTCTTGCAACCAGAAGGCTGCAGGGTCAAGGGTCGGACGAAGAAAGGATGATTCTCTGAGGGTCTGACGGGATTGTGCATATTCGCAGTCTGATGGGATTGAGTGATGAGAGACAAACGTACCACTGGTCGAAAGGCCTTGAAAACCACCTGTACCCTTCTGGTCTATGCCAGTTCAACGGGAGCGATTTGGACAGGAGCACCATCTTCGACTGATAACTGATAACCATTTCCTAACAGTTTCACTCTGGCCGGTGGTTTCATTTCTTCACGTTGGGTCCCCTTGTCAAATCTGGAGGTCTTATCAATCACTATACTATATACAGCATTTATATAATTAGCAGAGGGCAAATGATTCGCCAAACATGAGAGGGCAAGTTCCACGAGGATCAACACTGTCAAACGGTGGGGTCAGGACGCACATGTCAGACAACTACAAGACTGGCACAGCTACCCTGTTGGATCCTCCAGTCCATCTCTAAGGGATAGGGAAAACTCAAGGTCCCTTCCAGTGAATCACCCAGCTGCGGCCCTCTTGCCACGTGTGTCTCGGCACGCGCGTGCGAAGCATGAGAGCACGTGGCGATCGAGTCCACACCAGGCGCCGTGCAGAGCTACCTCCGCCATGCGCAGTTGGGTTTGGTGATTGGCGACACCCTCTTCGTGACTTGGCTGATGGACGAGTCGCGTTTCGACGACAGGTAAAACGAATGGATGACATGGTTGATGGGTCAAAACCTGGAGCCCTGGTCCATCGTGTAGCTTGACCTTCCAGGTACAGTAGGTCAAGAGTCTTATTGAGTTTACTCATGAGACTGTGTTGCAGTGACTGCTGAGTGAAGATGTTTCACGTTATTGCCTTGTTTTCTCAAGTGGTGGGTAGGGAGGGAGTTCTTTTGAAGTCCAAGATGTTTGGACAATATGACAAAGAGGGGAATTGATGGTGAAGCTGTTGATGGTCTGGACGTCAGGTCATCGACAGCCCTCTCTTTGTCAGTTGGTCGAGCTTTGGATTGCTCATTGGCATTAGGTTCCAGCCATGCAGTGCCGCAAATGCCTTGGGAATCTAATCCGTTTTTGCGTGATGTCCTGGGGCCACCCACTGTGCCATGGCTGAAACCACCTACTATCTCTCGCTCTTTGAATCATGTTCCTGTTAAGGCTGAATCTGGTCAAGTTTTCACTGTCCTTGCCAAGAAGGAGAAGGTAAGGTTGGTAGCTTGCTCCCAGCTGCATTCTGCACCTGATGCAGATCGTGCTAAGCTGCTAATTATTGAAGTGGAGTGAAATCTTTATGATGGAGCCTGAGCGACCAGCTGCTGGAAGGATGCTACTACGTTGTGCTCAAGACGAAGTCAAGGTAACGCGTACCATGCAGGATCTCTTTAGAAGCAAATCCACTTCGACGCTGAGAACTCGTGTCGGTTCAATCAGTCTTTTCTTCGCTAGGATGATTGCAACAGAGCCCGATTGGCCGGTTCTTCCCATTCTTGAAGAAAGACTGTATGAGTATGCGTGCTACTGCAGTGATGTTGGGAAATCTCCATCCAGGTTAGACACATTGCTTGCTTCCCTGATTTATGTTGGCCAAGCCTTTGGATTTGAAGGTGCAGTTGAACCGGCTGAGTCAACTAGAGTCAAAGGTTCAAGCCATGCAATGTTTCTGAACAGGCAGCCTCGTGTGAGGGCTGCTGCACTACACACAACCATGGTGTGTTGGATTGAGATATGCTGCTTCGCAATGCCAGATGCCTTTGACAGAGTTGTGGCAGGCCTTTGCATGATATGTATCATGGGAAGACTTCGGTGCTCTGATGCGAATCGTATCAGACATGCTGGACTGGTAGGCCGTTATGTTGAGGGAGCATTGAGCAGAACGAAGACATCGAGAAGTAAAGAAAAGGCTACTGCTTTTATTCCGCTGGTCGTCCCAGCATTCGGCCTCTTGGGCAAACCTTGGTTTTTGGAGTTCGTGAAAGCCAGACGGGCCATCGGCCTTCGTGATATTCCTGGTGTTCAGTCTCAGTCGCATGACCTCACCTTCTTGCTGGTGCCAGCACATGCTGGGATTGCTTATGAGGTTCAGTCACCGATGGATTCTGGTGAACTGACCGATCGACTGAGAGCTATGTTGTCCAAGGGGTTCTCGGATGAACAACTATGCGGAGTAAGCAGTCATAGCCTCAAGGCCACCTTGTTGGCATACATGAACTTGTGGGGTTGCTCACTTCCTACAAGCGAATTGCTGGGATATCATGTGAACCCAGAGCATCAGTCTGCTCTCAACTACACACGTGATTGTCTCAGTGGACCGATTCGAGAGATGGTCGACATGATGAGCCAAGTGAACGAAGGAACCTTCGTGCCTCAAGCTGCTAGAGATGCTATTTTTCCTCCACCGCTCAGTCGTAAGCGTATCACTCGCCAGTTCTTGGAGACGACTGGCTTGACCGTTGTTGATGCTGCAAGGGTGCTGCAAGGGGATGGGCGCTATAGTAATCAGCGTGAGCAAGCCAATTCAGATGAGCGGATTCGAGTCTTGTCTAGCCCATGTGAGATTTCCACAGTGGGTATGATGGTTTATTTGACAGCAGACTCTGCGAGGAATACCTAGTGAAGTGGATTCTTCCAGCTCTAGCAACAGCGAAGAGGAAGAGGAGGTCGAAGCAAGCCATGCTTTGATTGATGTTCATCAGCAAGCAGGAAGATCTGCAGTGCCGGCTGAACTTTCGGACACCATGACGGTGTATAGACATAGTCGTACGAAGATGGTACACTATGGTCACGTAACTCACTCCGATAAGACAGGCTGTGGACGTATGCTTTCAGAAGCGTACTATACTTTCAAAGGGTCACTGGACACTGCATTCCCAAAGTGTAAAGTCTGTTTTGGGAATGTTCAGATTTGACTGCTGGATGTCAGCAAAAGATGTTCAATGTGTGTTTCTGATTTAGCGTCTGCTCATGTTGAAGTAACTGAGTGCTGCACACATCACACTCCGGGTTTTGATGTGCACTCATTTGAGCAGCGTGAGGCAAGAAGTGTGGGTGGGAAGTCCACCAGATATCCCGTTGGATATCAAGAGGACTGAGCCTGAGGATCGGGGTGGGTTACAATGTTAGGTTGCTCAGCATTCAGTCACTGGAACTTCAAGTTTTTGTCTGCCGTCTGTGATAATCAGCGCGAGCATGCTCCGTGGGGCCTGCTAGCAGACAAACATCGAGTTCGGTTTGCAACCTCTGAAGAAGCTGAGTACCCAGCTTTGCTTTGCAGTAGAATTGCTGACGCCATTTTGCAAGCTGCTCAAACTTTTGGATGCCAAGCTTTGGAACCTGCTCCTAAGAGAGCCCGTTTGACACTGACGACAGCCGCTCAAAAGATGGCAGCTGCCGGCAGACAACCTCGTGGCAATAAATTTCCAGAGCTGCTAAGTGAGTTCGAGCACGTGCAGGAAGTTCATGGCCGTTTTCCCGGCCTCGAAGGTGTCCTCAGCTACTGTCCACTGATCAGCTTCGGCATTTTCAGCTCACTCAGGCCTCCACAATTCTCTCATGTCTCCAAAGTGGGGAAAACCAAGATGAGGGTGGGCTGGTAGCAAAGATAGGAACATACAGAGCTCCTTTGAAGTTCGTGGTCGATGCTCATGATCTCAAGCACCCCTTTGACAACTCCAGCAATGTTTCGGATGACCTCAAACGCAACATCTTTTTGCTGCTAACAGAAGGCTGGAGAGAAGTGAAGTCGAGGAGAGAGAAGTGTTTTGAGCACTATGAAAGGCGCCTTGTTGACCTACAGGCAAGTGAGCGCCGACTCCATGGTGAGATGCCCAAGCATCGCGAAGCCCTTGTAGCCGACAAAAACATGCTGCTTTTTGCTGAAATGTGTCGGGATGCAGGTGTCGATGATGAAGGCTTGGTTCAACTGCAAGCCTTGGGCACCCCTCTGTATGGAGAATCTGGTTCAAGCAATCTGTTTGAGCAAGAGCCTTCGGATTCGGTCCCTGCGATAAACTGAAGCTGGATGGTTGCAGGGTCCTTTTACTGAAGAGCAAGTCAATTCCAAGGTTGGACCACTGTTCGTAGCATCTCCAAGTTTTGGGTGAAGCAGAGTGATAAAGGCCCATTGATGATATGAGCATCAGCATGGTCAATTCGTCCTTTGCTGCGCAATACAGGCTAGACCTTGACGGCGTAGATGGCATTTCCCTGCTGGCACGCTCCTTTCTGGAAGCTGTGTCGGATCAACGAGAGGTGGTGCTGGCTGATGGCTCTGAGTTGCGGGGCGTGCTGCATTCGGAACTCACTGTTTCGGAAGCCAGGTGCATTTGCGGCAGGACTCTCGACTTGGAAGCTGCTTATAAGCAGCTGCTGGTGAAGGAGACATCTTTGTGGGCTAGTGTTCTGTTAGTGGCTGCACCTTCTGGCGAAAGGCATTACATATCGCAAGTGCTGCCATTCGGCGCTTCGGCCACAGTTTTCGCTTTCAATCGGCTTGCGAGAGCGATCCATGCGGTGGGGCCTGGACTAGGCTGTTCCATCTCATCTGGAGCAACTTTTACGATGATTATCCGCAGCTGGATTTGGGTGTGCGTGGAGACCTAGCTCAAGTGACTGCTGAACGGCTGTTGCAGATGATTGGTTGGCGGTTCTCAAAAAAGCAGAACAAACGACTTCCCATGAGTCGAAGCTTCTCTGCTTTGGGTGTTGTTTTTGATTTTGGGGAAACCAACAATTCTATTGTGAAAGTCCGGAATAAGCCGGAACGAGTTAGCCAACTTGTTGCTGATATTCAGATGATTTTGGATAGTGGTTGTTTCTCACCATCCGTTGCGACATCCCTTCGTGGTAGACTGCAGTTTGCGGAGAGTCAGACATATGGCAGAGCAGTTGCTTTGCGCATGCGTTCATGCCACCTGCGTGCTACGCAGAATTCACCGGGTACTGATGTGACGCCAGCCAATCGAGCGGAACTTCATTGGGCATTAGACTTTGTGCTTTGTGCGTATGAGTGAGCCTCGAATTTTGAGGACGCGCATGTCTGGCTACAAGACTCTCATTTTCACTGACGCCTCACTTGAGGGTGATGACCTTACAGCTGGAGTTGGCATGGTGGCTTTTGTCTGGAAGGCTGGTGAGCTCGCACATCGGTTTTTCTTCTCTGAACGTGTTCCGCCTGAATTGCTTAGCCAGCTCCAGTCTTCGACCCCTAAAGTGATTGCTGCTCTTGAGCTACTGGCTGGTGTTATGGCTATAGACGTTTTGCAGCCTCATCTGTCTGCTTCCCGAGTTTTCATGTTCATTGACAACGAGGCGGCCCGAGCAAATTTGATTTCAATGAGCAGTCCTGTTGTGCGTCAAGCTCGTCTTTTGAGAGTCCTTCATGATATTGCTTCTAGGAAGTCTCTTTTCTTTTGGGTTTCACGGGTTCCGTCAGCTAGTAATATAGCGGATGAACCATCTAGATTTTGTACAGAAGGTTTGTGTCTGCAAGGATTCAAGCAAGTTCGTCCCAGATGGCAAGTGTTCTTGGAGTAAACAGTGCATCCATGCTCAAGTGGGGTGAGCCAGGCATGTCTGCTTTGGATGAAGTATCCATTTGATAGATGTTATCATGCTAAGTCGCATCATCTAGCAGCACGGCCTTTTCGTGAAGGATCGTTGGCAGCCCCGATTGGAAAATACACAGAGTGGGATGCACAAGGCTGCTGGGTTGGTATCGGATTTGCATACCACGTTGCTAACATGGCAATACAAAGGAGCAGAGACACGAATCTTATTGAGTTTACTCATGAGACTGTGTTGCAGTGACTGCTGAGTGAAGATGTTTCACGTTATTGCCTTGTTTTCTCAAGTGGTGGGTAGGGAGGGAGTTCTTTTGAAGTCCAAGATGTTTGGACAACATGACACCCCCCC